CTCATCCTCAGCACTGCTCCACTGAAATGGTTTATTTCTGTCTACCATTTTATAATTGCTTTTATATAACAGTATATTATCAGCTACGTAGCAGAAGAGAGTTACAAACTTAATTTCACTCTATAACCAGTTGTACTGTGACAAATGAATCTACCTTCTACTTTGGTCCTACACTTGCATGAGTTGTATTTTTCAATCAAGCCCTAACCACTCATCCAATCAGTGTGAGTGACGTAGCGTAGCGTATCTTCCACGTCATTTTCAGTCGACGCAAAAACTGCGTGGTTGCTAACGGGAGCAGCTAAACAAACGTGTGCAATGTCGGTCGACCATACATGTCGACTGTGCCAAAAGAATTTGATGTTTAAAGGAGTGATTTCAAACACCAAAAATCTGTACATCGTGAACCCTAGAGAAAAGCCGTTGCACGAGCGGTTCAGAGATGTGGGAATCTTTTTTCAGAGAAGGGACGGGGTGTACTCCAGCAGGATTTGTGTCATGTGTTACCGAAAGTTTGTCAGGGTGGAAGAGGCTTTGGGAATTTTGAAAAAATGGCAAGTCTACCAACTCACAGCAGAAACAGAGGCGAACTTATCAGCAGCGATACAACGCCGATATTCGACAGAGGTATAACTTAAGAACCGCTGGTAGGAACACTAAAATAATGATGAACCTTCAATTATGTGAATTTCCTGAAAAGTAACGTTACAAGCAACGTTAGTATATGAGAATAGTTACGGTAACCACTGAGAGATTTAACGTAATACATCTATAGGAACAACAGAGACTCAATTGGTTACATGTTTTGTTGGTATAACATAAATATTTTAAGTGTCCGACATACAGTCCAGACCCTAGTTTGCCACACTGTTGTGCAGTGTTTAGCTCCTAATTTGTTTTACATGTAATTGTGATGATGGATTTAGTGTCACTGTTTCCCCCGCATTTAGGGCAATTATGGCAGAGCATCTCACTTGCCTATTTTAAGACATGTGGCCTCCCAAACGGACCCTGCAAAGACATCTGTCCAAAGTACAGGTTTGTAGTTCTGCTCATCACCAAGTCATGTATGACTTTAACTTGTTTTAAGTGGATTATTTTGTTGCTGCTCAGTTTAGTTAATTAAAATAGCTCCTTCATACTACCAAATCAGACATCACTGACAGAATGACTGACTTCTTTGTCTGTGCATTGAAGGTACCCAGGCGAGAGTGCCTAGCAGAGATTGTGGCATGTGCACCCTGACCTTCCCCCTGGACAGTCCATTACTGTTCCTACAACCAACAATCATAAAGAGACCATCCAAGAGACCTCGACTCAGCCTGACAGTAAAGGAGGAAGTCCCTCGAGAATGCAGCTCCTCCGTGGTAATTCATGAACCAGACAATTTAACATGACTGCGGATTTTTTTTTCTTATTACCTCTTTGGAAATCTCTTCATGGAGAGGAGTTGATGAGTGACAGATTAGTGAATTGAACAGCTACGACTGCTAAAAACATGTATAAAAAGTTCCACGGAAAAAGGTGCTGTTCCAACTTGTGATAATAAGCTTGACCATAACCTCTGTCCCACTGAAATGGTGCTATTCGCTGCTAATGCAGGCTTATCGAACATTCTTTACTTTAATGAACACAGTAAAAGCCCTTAAAGCAGAGAAACAGGGCTTTTAAAAACATCCCCGAACAGACAAAGTTCTGCTGAAGCCCTACAACCAATCCCTCAGCTGCTCTGTTGGAACTGTTAAATATATGATAAAGAAGGCCGTAGCACTCACTGATTCTTCTTGTCACTACTGGAATGCTTGAACAGTATGTTTTAATGTCTTGTTTCAGTTCCACCTCTAAAGGTTACATCTTTCTGTGTACATTGCAATTTCACTTCTACAAAAACTAGAACAGAGAGAGGCAGAGAGAACGTTTGGACCACTAAATCTCTGTATAAGCCACGTAGATAGAAACACACTGTAAGATATTAAGCGCCACGTTGTTGGGGGTTCAATATGTTTTCAGGGTTTTTAAATCAGTGGAATCTTAAAAATGTGTTATAGCAGTCTTTGTAAAGCCTGATCTTTGTTAAATCAGAATTGTCTAACCAGCAATCTTTTTTTTTAAAGTAGCAAATGCAATACTAATACAGTTACACTGGTTTCGTTTTGTGCAATCTCATACAACACAATTCTATTATGTTTATTTCTCTTTTCTTGTTTATTCCTCTTTCATTGTTTGTTGTGTCAGTTTGTGTTTATAGTCCTACTGTACACTACACTATGTACCCATCATTAAAAAGTCTCTGTACATTTGGTCACATCAGTCTGGGTCAGAGATTCTACTAGAAAACGTCCCATCCACACATTGAACATCTAAAAGTTTTAATTCAGATTTCTAAGAAATTTCGCTTAAAGTGAAAATGTGCCCCCACCTCCCTATATTAATAAGAATAATAATAATCCCTATTTGGAGAGCACTTTTCAAAAACAAGTTACAAAGTGCTTTAACAAGTGTAAAGACAATAATACCCAAAAGACAATAATACAAAAACAAAACAAGATAAAAGCAAGAAAACATTGAAATGACTAAAATACACATTTAAGATAAATACAAAATTAGTAAAATAGAATAAAATAAAAGGGATAAAATAAAGTCAAATAAGATTGGGAAAGGCTCTCCTATAAAAGTATGTTTTAAGAAGGGACATAAAAGAGTTCACTGACTCAGCTGACCTGATTTCCTTACACTTTACTATGTTCACAGTTCATCAATGAGGATGTGATTCTGTGTACAAAGAACTTTCAGGAGAAAGGAGAGGTAATTAAAACCAGAACCACAGAAATAAGTATGAGTTACTTCCTATTTCAACCATTTCTGTTTTTATAACGGACATGATTGAACTGACCTGGTATGCCTGCCTGCATCCACGGTGAGATATCTGTCCCTTCTCCGTGTGTCTCCAGTTTGGTCGTATTAATGGGAGCCAACAGTTTGACCACTTCTTCCATCACCTGTTGAAACAGACACAGCAAAGTGCTTTTCAGTTCATCCTACCATCTGTTATATGCCAGTGGTTTTCAAATATTGTTCAACATTATTTCAAATATTGTATTCCAGGTGCATTGTCTTAAACCACACTACAAACCCATAACCACTTAACCTAGTAGATGTTACAGTGCCACAACCAAAAAAAAGAGAGTAGTTCTGTGGTTAAGCAAAGGTGCAACATAGTTTACACTGAGGTTAAATGGGAAGTTTAATGTTTAGATTAATTTTAAATATCCTATCTAAGAAGCAATGGTCTGAAGGTAGGGGTAATGTGACGTAGGGAACAGATGGAGGAAAAACAGCACATTCACTGGACTGGATATTAATTTATGCCACCTTGCAGAATTCAGACTTTGAAGCTTGAATAAACACTGATGATTGTGTGACAGTGTTATGTGTCTTTAAGCCTACCTTTCGTGCTGCATCGCTGCCACTAAACTGCAGAGCCAACGGGGTAAATGTCCCCATGTCAGACTCCATGACCAGGTCTATGTTGGACATGTTAACCTGGGTGGAGAGGAAGCAGATAGGAGAGGTGAAAGATAAAGAGAGATGAAGGGAGACAATAAACAACACAAGCTTCAGACAATGAAAATAGTAAGCCACTCAACAATCTATATAAAGACTCAGGAGTTGCTAAAGTTAAACATTTTAAACACGGCTACCTTCAAACAAGAGCATACACACTCAAGTCTACCACTCGCTGGCACAGCTGCCTTAACTGATTGAGATTTATATCCTAATTTCAGTATATAATAAATGGTAGAACTGGAAAGTACACAGGAATGTACTTTTTGGTTTAAAAAATGCACTAAAATATCTCTGTCCTCAAGAAACTCTCTGGTATAGCTGGAAGTACATGTCTACACACTTTCACAATGTGGTCTGACCATTCCTGCTTCTTACCAACAGGAATAGTATTTGCTCTACTGCTGTTACACTGTGCATTTCCTATTAGGTACTGCAGTAACAATAGCCAGTACCTTGTGTAGATTATAGTACTGCTGCGCTCCAACTCCACCCTGCTCTTCAGCTGTCCACAGCACTGTTCGCAAGGTTCTCCTTGGACGCAAACCTGGAAACAGAATAAAAGGCTCAAATAAACACACAAAGCAACTGAGTTATACAGAATAAATACAGGAAGAGAAGCCGTCGTATCAGCAGATGACACAACTGCCATGATGAAAAGGCAGCAGCTTTTCTTTAGAACTTGGAATACACACTAACGTTTACTGCATTCCTGACTACAAAACATTTAAGCACTAGACCTTGTACTCTTGGTTGGACATTTAATTATCTGTTAAGTTCTGTGTGTGTAGCATGAAGGGACTGTGACCTTTTGTTTCATTATACAACCTTGTAACTTTGTATGAACCTGTCCCACTATAGGTTTATTCAGTTGCACTCTTCTGTCCATAACAATACTATACTGTATGTCCAAGTCTTGTCCCTTTGCAAACAGTTGGAGGAAATGACTGTTCACAGAATTACATTTTGTAATTTGTCTAAGTTTGGATCTCGAAGCATTGCTCCTGCTTCATGGTATTGAAAAGAAAATGATCGATATAGAAAATTCAGTTTTGTTCCCTTGTTCATGGAGCTTTAATATATTTTGCTTTTGTACATTGTCCTAATTTTTTTTGGCTCAGTCACTTGTTTAAAAAGAAACCTGTTGATCTCAGTGGGGAAAACAGGTTACATAAAGTAAATAATTAACTTGACTTTGTTTGTGTAAGCTTGCTACTGTCTATATACTTTTTAATTTCTACAGTGATTAAAAGTCTCTTTCTGTGGAAGTTCATCTTAGGTTGAACCACACACTGTATGTGCATCTATACGGTATGTCTTTCTCTATTTTACCTAAGTCCCTGATGAGAGACAGGGCCTCCCAGGAAATCAGGGCTCCACCTCCGTCATCCATAGCGCCTTGGCCCACATCCCAACTGTCCAAATGGCCGCTCAGTAACACAACCTAGCAGATTGGACAGATAAAGAGATGTAAACAAAGAAATGAGAGTGGTGGGATACATTTTTCTAGGTGCTGGTCCGTGGCAACTGGATCATTTGTCTGATCTGAAGCAAGAGAACAGGATCAGGTATGTGACCCATATTCTGTCTGCATTTTATTAAAGCACACAGAGCACACATAATATGCCTCAAATATGACTGTATCAGCAAGACATGACAGACTAATGAGAACAGGAAAACACAAGGCAAAAGCACACAGTACAGGGTAATATACCCATTTCCAGGAATTTTAAGGGGAGGGATTCCCCCGAATTCTCCTGACCTGTTCCAGGATACAAAACATTTTCTGAGCTAGCCCAGTCTGGACAATGACCCAGAGGCCACACATTGCATTTAAACCTTATATAAAAGAAATCCTAATATATATATTTTTCAAAGCCAGCGCCATTGCTGTATGGCCGACAATGTCAGTCTGTCGGTCGGTCATCCACAAACTGTTTTGTATAGACATTCGTGTTGATCAGAGGATAAAACCTCTGACTTTTCCACCAGCAGGTCAAAGTTCTCACTAATCCAGTGAATTATCGTGAAATCCACCAGATGGATTGCCATGACATTTGGTACAGATGTTGATGTTCCCTTCAGGATGAACTGCAGTAACTTTTGTGATCCCTTAATTTTTCCTCTTAAGCCATCATCGGTCAAAATTTCAATTTGTCTAAGACTTTGGTTTACATACAAACTGACATTCCCATTAACCTCATCTGTACTTTGTTTTGTGCTAATGGGCATGTTAGCAAGCTAATATGCTAAACTAAGACAGTGATCATGTCGGCATGCTGATGTTAGCATTTAGCTCAATGCACCGCTGTGTCCATGTACAGCCTCTAAGAGCTGCTAGCATGGCCATTAACATTTGTGTAAATGTGTAGTCTACACACACACTTAAATGCTTTTCGCAGGATTATGTAGGAATACATCAACAAGAAATAGAAGACTTACATACCTATTTAGTACAGAGACACAAAGACACACAGTAATGCTGCTTTGTGCAAGATCCATGAATCGCTGAAGTGGTTTTGCAGTAAGGACCTGACTTTCCTCTAACATGAAAGTTATCCAAGTGCAGGTTTATCCCATGTTACAGCATGCATCAAGGATTTTACAGCCAAGTCGCTGAGTTGTAATAAACACAGTGATTGCATGATAATTCAGGCCACCAGCAGTGTTGAAATAGCAAGACATCATATATATATATATATATATCTTAACCCAATATGGATTAGTTTTCTGTATTGCAATTCTTACATTGGTTAACCTCAGAAATATCCTTCTGCCCCTGTTGATATTATATAGTTACACAGTCCCTCCTACTACTTGGGGGTACAGCTGAATACCTGACTAGTATAGTATATTGTATCAGTCTGTGTACTGCTGCTTTTTACAATGTGTTGACAGTGGGGACAACTAAATACATTGTAGTTAGCATAGTTTAAATCATGGGAGATCAACAAAGTATGAAAAAGATGTTTAGATGTGGTTCAGCAACATGTTGTGGGAATCACAAAAACATTTTTTCCTAACCAAGACGCACTGGCATTTATAATGAGTAATCATTCCAATCAATGTCTAGCAACTTGATTTTTGTTTTGAGCGTAATTATAAACAGAAAGCCTACAGGACATCTTAGTTTGAAGTTTGAATAGTTATGAAAAAAGATGGAAGCTGAGTAGGTGGAAATAAATCAACTCATCACTCTCAGATGACTCTGTCTGGCTCTAAAAGGCTAAACTGTGGAAATGACTCACTAAACCTCAAATTTACATTTTTCTATGAACATGCACACAGAGACACAAACCAACCACAATTGTTGCTACTGCCAGTGGGAGCACAAAGTCACAGAGCCAGAAATGATGTCAACCATGCCATGTGTTTCATTTCCCTTTTCTATCATGACTAACCAAGCATTGGTTCCCAGATCAGAATAGTAACCGATTACATCAGAGATGTTCCTCTCATCCAAGTCTCTGACTGATTTATCATTTAGCTCCGCTTTTTTCCAAAAAAAATAAACCAGAGGGACTGGAGACCAGTTGAATATATTGGACATAATACAGTACAAACAGTGGCAATCTGGCCATCTGGAGTACCGGGACAATTCCTGGTGGGCCGGTCAACCTCTGGGCAGGTTGGCCGTCTTCCTTAGCCTATACTTTTTATTAATAATAAAATATTGGCAGAAGGTTCATATGGAATAGACCAGGCTAGTTGGTCTATTCCATATGAACGTCTATGCAGCCCTTAGCCCCGCCCCTTCCATCTCACTCACACACATCACAGTGACACTGACAGCTGGAAAATGATCTAGAAAAAAGAGCAAAGTTTAAAAATGTTAAGGGTCGGGCTGAAACGTTCAGAGACAAAAGAGTCAAAGGTCTTAGCTGAAATGCAAGTAAATGTAAAAAAGTAACCGACTCGTTTCCTAGTAGTACCAGGGCCACAGTCACTAAGACCGGGAAGAGGACAATGCCACAGCCCTGTTTACGTGTACAGAGACGGGTACGGAGAAGACAGTGAAGCCAGAGATAGTGCAGCTGAACGGTATGCGTCTAAATGTGGTAATACAATGTGTTATCAGAATCTATCAATGAAATGCAAATGCTGTTGGTCAGCTACTGTTTTGTAAATGTATCAGAAAGAAAGAACTGAGGTAAAGAGTACAGTAACTGTGCATTCAAACAGGCTGGTGGAAAAACTAAAATCTGATGCCTAACATTAGGAAAGCTCTGAATGTCTACATTTCACTGTCCTGCTGGGATTTTGTGGGAAATAAATCACTTATCAGTGATTAACTGTTATGTGTAATTTTATTTTGCTAAAATTGTTTTGCTAAGATTGTTTTTGTCTCGTCATTCTACACATATAGCCTAAATGTTTTAGACATTTACAAATGTAAATTAGCTAATTTTATTTAATGTCTGCCATTGAATGAAAATATGGTAAAACCATTTAATCCTTTCCCTCTCAAATTCATATTGTATGTGGGGGAATGTGTCTTTAGTGGTTCGCTAGATATCTTACTAGACAATACACTGAAACTCAATGGCCTCAGATCCGTGCTCCCCTGTTTTTCTGTCGGCCGGTTGTCGGACTCCTCGGGAGACTGAGGTATAAAGTTAGTTGTCTGGATGCGAAGGGTGTGTGCGGGGCGGAGCTGTGCTCCGGGTTTGTTCTGGGCGTGTGCCTGGTGTTCTCGGCCCTTGACGGGTGGGTGGGTTGGCGGTGACATGCAGCTGGGCTAGTTGATTTTGCCTCGTTGCTGGTTTGGCCGGCGTTGTATGGTGGCCGGAGGGCATGGGGAATGTTGGGATGGCGCTGGTGGCCCCCGCTTTTCCGGCGGATGGGGGGGCGGCGGACTTTTAATGACGGGTGCACCGTCCATGGCCTGGGCGGCGCGTTTGCTGCCGGGCTGGGACTTGCTGCTGGTGTTTTTCTCTGCTGGCTTTCGCCATTGTGTTCTGCCGCTTGCTTTCTCTCATTTGCTCGGCCTCGCGCGCGGGATACGTGGGGGGCTGTTGGCCGTTAGGTGTCACTGTGCTCGTGCGGTGTGCGGGTTGGGGTCGTCACTTGTGAGCTGATGTTGATGATTGCGTGGCATTTTGACGGCCCGGGTGCCGCTCTTCTGCAGGTTCCATCTTTTGCTTTCCGATGGCATTGCGTTGTCAATTGGCATTTGGATGGCAGGTGTCTTTGGCGTTTGTTGGTCGGGTCAGGGTCTTCTGCGTTCGCGTCGCGATTCTTCTGTGAGTCTACTTCTCTCCCACTCCTATTGGCTACTGGGGGTCTTGCCTGCCTGTCGCTGGAGTCGCTGCGGCGCGGTTGTGACATCCCACTCTCACTATGAACTACATTCTGTAACAAGCTTATGCACACAAACATATACAGACACACACAAACAAAGGTTCTCCCTGGTAGAATTACTGTATTTTTGATGTTTTTCATTCAGTTACTTTTTAAAATTAATTGTTATTATTTCAGCTCTCATGGCAGTGCTGTGTTGTTTATTTATGTTGGCTGATTTTTTTTCTCTTTTTCATTTCTCTATCTTTATCTTCCTATGTCAGCTATTTATTGCTGCTGTTCGGCTGGTTGTCTCTTTGTTTTTGTTTTTTTGTTTGTTTTTCTCCGCCCCAAGCCCCCCTCCCCGTTCTCTTGCAGGTTTTGTTGCTTTCTGCAATTGGTGTTTCCTTCTGCTATTTCCTGTTGTCCACACCCCCCATCCCCATTCTCTTGCAGGTGTTGCCCTTTCTCTGTGCTGTCTGTTTATGTGGTGTTTCTATTCCCCATCCCCATGTCTGTCCCAATGACAAATATGAATGAATAACAATACAGGCTGACCCCAAAGAAGAATCGATGCTTCGATGGGCAGAGCCTGATTCGACTGTCAATCTCACAGTCGAAGCATCCAGTATATTACTGGACGAAGCCACCTCGCTGATTTAAATGAAGAGCAGTGACGCCAGTTTTGGCTCCAGTGTCTACTGTGCATGATCGCGCAGCATAACCGTGGTTTAATGACGTAAAGCAACAGCAGAAACACCGTAATTCTAGTAGCTGCATAGCTGCGCCAACATAAAGTTTCTTGGCTCAGTGTGTTTGACTGACTCGGATTGTCACTGTTTAATCCGCCCACCTACGAGGCTCACCTGCCAAACACCAACGCAGCGTCACTGATCGACAAATAGTTATTTTAGATTCACTGAAAGTTTATAATATAAGCAATACGGTTACGTCTCTCGTGTGCGACAGGATGTCACAGGGTTTTGATGTCATTTTTGGGCCTACATGGAACCGTCCGTGCAGGCTTTGGTCCAAGTTTATCCAGCTGCAGACCGCAGACTGCAGACAAACATGACGGAAGTTGAACTTCCAAATATGGTTTGTCCCAGAAGACACCAAGCACAAAACGTGATGACGTTAATCTCGGCTCACGTACAGGATAGATCCTAATGCAAACCGTGTTATGTTTGTATATTGTTCTATATATTTTGGTAAGTCACTTGTTATTTATATCCTTTTTTTGCAATAAAGTTGACTTATATTAAAAAAAAAAGAAAAAAAAGAAAGAAAATCTGTGGCTGAGAGGCGGAAGCCAAAACGATCTACCGTTTGATTGGCTGACACAACAAAAGTCCCACCCCTTTATGAGCATCCGGCCTAGAATCGAGCGACTGGAGGATATTCCCCACAGTTTTGCATACCGGACATGTACTGCGGCATAAAAGTAAATGGTTTTTTTAGACAGCTAAAGTTGGATTTTGAGGAGTTATATAGAGTGGGATAGTTGTCATAAATAAATACTCAATCATTATTAAAAAAAAAAAAAAGATCCTAATGCAAACTGTTTTATTCTTTAGAAACCTACAACAGAACTTTAAATACACTTCTGACAAGTTTTTAGGCGAGAAATCAACTGTGTAGATTTCGAATATCGGCAGGCGAATCAAAAATGTGTTCAAACATGCCGACCATGTTGCCGATGGGTGTTATATAGCTGCAGTAACATTACCGGAGGCTGCACAGCAACACAATGGAGGTTAACCCTATCCGCTAACGGCCGATGTGCACCGTTGTAGAGTTAACCGGTCTACATTCATATAATCATTAGCTTTAGGCACACAGCCTGCGTATGGAGGACCGATCCTGACACATTCAGAAATAAATACAGAAATGAATAAATGCTCAATAAATAAATAAGCATCCGATTAAATACACAAAAAAAGAAACAACAGCTCACTTTCCTGCAGTTCTCTGTCCGTATAAGTCGCTAATTGAAAATTCTGTAGGTAAGAGTGTCCATGTGAAAAGAGACGGAAGACATGGCTGGTAGTATTGTCTTTAAACAGAGTTGCTATAAACACCTCAGTGCACTGAAGGAAGCCATCTGACTGTGTGAGGAGCAGCTCGTTGATGTCTGCAGGCAGAGAAGGCCTAGAGCTCTCCCGTCTGACTGGTCAACCAATAGGAGTGAAGTTCATCCCTTGAGACACAGCCCCTCCTCATTTGCATAATGAGGCAGAAATGCATACAGAAATGTAAAAAGGACAGGCAGAAATAAATACCATGGGTGAAAATAAATAGGGTAGAAAATGCAACGCAAGAATAAAACAGACAAAAATATTAAAACACACACATAAATAAATACATTTAAAAAAGAAGTAATTAATAAATGAAGTTGAAGATTATAACGGACAATAAATAAATAAGGTAATTAAAATAGATATATACATTTATGTCTCCTTGTATAATTTAATTACTACCTACATTTATTTATTACTTTATTTTTTTGTGTATTTAATCGGATGCTTATTTATTTATTGAGCATTTATTTATTTCTGTATTTATTTCTGAATGTGTCAGGATCGGTCCTCCATACCTGTGATGGTTAGGATAAGAGGAATATACTTCGGGAGACTGTCAGGAATAGTTAGCTAGCTAGCTCCGGTTAGCTCCCCCAGGCCCAGTCACACAGACCACTGCAGCCAACACAGCAGACGTGTCCAGCAACAGCTGAACGATACTGTTATGTTTGTACTGCTGTTATTCTATCAATAAATTCTCAGTAATGTTGTAACGTAAAGTTTTAACCTAAATCCAGATACTTCTTGCTCGTGATGTAACATTACAGAATATTCTTGGTTTGTGAAACTTAAAATCCCTTTGGAAGAAATAAAATATATCGTTACAACAGTGGTATGAATTGAAACACTGCTTTATTATTATCATTAGGCTATTATAAATAAATATTTGCAGGAATTATAGTATAAATATACTATATTAATAATATATAAGTATACTGTGTTTCCCACAGATTGACATGCCTGCCGAGAATTGTATGAAAATGCCTTAAAGTTCTGCTTTTAAACGCTATACTATTCTTTGTGAGGTTAATCAATAGTGATAAATGATCAGTATATATTTTATGAACGTTAATAATAATCGTTAATATATTATTACACTTAGTATAATAACACTTATTATTACACTTAGTAAAAGTACCATTTCTTGAGATTCAGCAAAAACATGTGGCGTTAACTGCGTTCAAACAGCAAAGTGTCCTAAAAGGACCTTAAGAAGTGAATTGCATAATTCGGCAAAACAGATATTGTAGGCTACCTACCTCTTTTCTGAGTGTAACAGCGCCTTACCTCTTGCGAGGTGTATGTAATTCACGGCAGGCATGCAGAATTCGGCACAACACCTGCGCTGCAAAACGTTACTAGACCTCGTGGGAGCAAGGCCTGATCATTGTTATAAACCTTTATATACAGTCTATGTTATAAACTCACAGTAAACTCACGCAGTCTACCGGAGGTAGACCAGAGGTAGACTGCGTGAGTTGTTTTCATCCCCCTATCAAGTCGGCGAAAGTCAGCCAACTATCTCGAACGCACCTACTGACTACCAGTTATACAGCGTGCTAACTTCGACGGCTGTTTTCCAAAGTTAACATAGCTCTCCTTATTAGCTAGGCTCCTTACGTGCTTGCTAATAACTGTTTTGAAGATGGGTCTCCGACATTGACAGCGTTGTGTTGGACAGATTTGTGCAGCGGTGTTTATGATACCAACGGGTCTGTTGTCCGTGTTTGCGAGAAGGAGAGAAAGAGAGAGAGAGCGACCGAGTGAGAGGATGTGCGGAGCTGATATGCGCTGCGCAGCACTGCAATCAAGAACGATTTTAAAATGGGTCGCCAAATTTACTTGGGCGGCTGTTAATCTACCTGGGCGGCCCGACCAAGTAAAGCCTATGTATGGGAAACACTGGCATAGTATAGTAAATATTAACACATAACGTACACTGATTACTACGTTGACACTTTACACCTCTTTTTTAACAGCTCTTTTTTTATTTAACAGATATGCGTGGACCGAGCAGTCGAGATAAACGTCATCACGTTTTGTGCGCGGTGGCTTCTGGGACAAACCATATATGGAAGTTCAACTTCCGTCACGTTCAAGGGGGTAAGCCAGAGATAATATAATGTAATATTCTGTCTATGGCTGCAGCCTGCTGACAAACGTGACCATCTTATTTTACAGCCCTGATCGCAGTGAAACCATAGACAGTATATTACTGGACGAAGCCACCCCGCTGATTTGAATGGAGAGCAGTGAAGCCAATTTTGGACCAATAAAATACTACTACAGGTCCACTTCCTGTTGGCACCAGCGCCTACTGCACATGATCGCGCAGCATAACCGTGGTTTAATGACGTAGAACAACTGCAGAAACACTGTAATTCTGGTAGCTGTATAAATGCGGCAACAAAAACTTTCATGGCTCAGTGTGTTTGTCTGACTCGGATCGCCCACCTACAAGGTTCACCTGTCAAACACCAAAGCAGCGTGTCTGATTGCAATATGGTTACATCTCTCATGTGCGTCATTTTTGGGCCTACATGGATCCCTCCATGCAGGCTTTGGTCAGCTTCACTGTCTGATCTCTGGCTTACCCCCTTGAGTGAAACAAGGATCATGCCATTTTGGTTATATGGGGGTGCTCAACGTCTTATTTTACATAGAACTAAATGTTTTTGAAGTGCGTGAATAAATCCAAAATTGTAACCCTAACTCTGGGTCGTCAGTGCGCATGTGTAAGCGTAGCGTGCATGTGTGCAGTGGCAGTGGAGGAACGTTGGTTGAAGAGACCGAGCCCCAGCCTCACGGTGTTGTGCCGAGTTTTTCGCACCTCGCGGGACTTTCCGATAATTTATCACCGCTGGTGAACCACATAAATAATATTTTATCGTTTTTAAATAGTCGACTACTTCAAATAGACCCGCGGGGAACCGCGACGTGCATGCAGTTGTCGGCAGCAGTAATGCTGCACAAGACCTGTGAATGACAGGTGAGAGAGAGAGAAAAGGATCTTCAAAGAGCCTCAGTTTAGCTGGAAATTTACAGTGTAAGTTGAATAAAAAGAGACTGCAGCTTAAAGCGGAGCTACCGTGTGTGACACATAGGACCAGATTTACTAACATCCCGAATAAAAAGTACTAAATTGCGTGTGCATTCTAAAATATTGCACGTGTTATTGTAGTAGCCTGTTATGGGTGATTAACTAAGAACTATTGCATAGATGACAACAGGTGCACATACAATGGAGGTGGCAGTATTTAAATGAGGGTTTTGCGTGTTTTAATGGTTTCCGGAAGGAAGGAGGGAGGAAAAGCATTCAGTGCGTCCCGAGTGTGTGGAAATCGTATGTACCTGCCCATCCTGCCTAAGATTGCACTAAGTAGGCTACTTGGGACAGCACACCTGAAAAACTGCTTTGGGAAACCCCAGTAGAAACGGATATAATATGATGGAATGACCGAGACGCGAAGAAATGCCAGCAGATCGTGCTTCATCCAGCCAGGGGGAACACTGACCGTCCGCAGCGTGCCCAGGTCGCTCTGTAATCTCGTGTCTCTAGCCATGTTTACCCCAACGCCCCATTCCCTCTCCGATAACAACAACGGGTTGTGTCGCTATTATGACTGGCGCGCTGTGAACAGTTGGTGATTGTTCCCTCTGGCTGGATGCATCTTACACGTGATCCATGCACTACTGCAGCTGGCGGCTCTCCGCAGCGCCACGCAACTTTCTAAATTCTTTCATCTCACGGAGAAAAGACGTCAAGTCGAAACGAAATTTACTTTATTGGCATGAATGTTAATACAACAGTATTGCCAAAGCTTCAAGGAAAATACAAAATAACAATTCATATAGTTCATCGAACAAATAAAATAATTTTATTCCTATAAATAAGATATAGAATAATATTATCTAATATTTTATTTATATTTCTCTACGTCTTCTTTCATTAAGCCTGTGTCTCCTCGCACTGAGGGGGTGGTGATAAAGCAGTGGATAATTATGCCTTTGGTGTGAGGGACCTGGGTTCAAATCCACTGTGAGACACAATGTGTCCCTGAACAAGACACTTTACCCCTAGTTGCTCCAGAGGCGTGCCACCTCTGTTATATAGCAATTGTAAGTCCCTTTGGATAAAAGCCAGCTAAATTTAGCGAAAACAGCAGCCATCTCTGCTCAACACTTTGCACGTGTAGCGTGTAGTAAATAAATGTATTTGCATATTACCCTCATTATTTTGCACAATAAAATTGAAACGCCCCAAATTGCATATTCATTAAGTAGTAAATGAACAGGCGCTATCTTGCACTTTGGAAGACGTCATTCTCTGTGCACACCATTAGTAGATCAGCTTACATTTTAATTTGCTGGTGATATCAAGTTTGCACATGTTTTTACTCACACAAACCTTTAGTAAATCTGATAAAATTTATAGTCACACTCCTGGGAAATTCCCAGTGCAAACACCTTATTCCTTCATCTGCCAACAAAATGATTACATTACAATTTATAGTCTCTTTTACAAATAAGAACCAAATAGGTGATGAAAAAAGTTCAATAATTAAAATTTCACCAGAATGTATGGTTTCCATATGCAGAAAGGCCTACATCACTGCATAACTTAAATGTTCAGACAAGCTTAATATTTGGTTATTTGTGATGCTGCATAAATATGCAGTTCAAAGATATTGCTGCATTTTCTTTTTAATTTGGTCACAGATGTACGGATTTGGTACAATGTAGTTTTTTTGATAACAAGGCACCTGAGGTAGAGCTGGCTAGGCCAGCTAGGCTGGACGTACATGTGTAGAATACTGACAGTATGGTGTGGAGGCAGCTCTGCGTATGAGTGTACGCTCAGTTGCACCCCATTCTTCTTGCACAAACAAAAATTATTTTCCCATCCTTATCCAGACCTGGAAATTCCCTGGAACCCTGAATTCAGTTTGATCAAGTCTAACGAGAAGCTTCCCCACCATTTTCCTGATATACTGCAGTTCTGTTTCAAACAGGTTTGACCACTTATCTTCACACATCAGCGCAACTAAAATGTACATCCCCTGCTATTTAGGACATGCTAGTTGAGCCCGACTGAGGCTGTCCCTCTGAAAGGGAAATGTTTACGAGTGATTGCAGGATCCAGTATTGTAATACAGGAAAATCCGCCCCAAAGCTGATTAAATTCATCATTTGTTTTTTGACATTAACGTGTTTGAGTATTCAAACAGGAAGTCAACACAGGGGCATTTCTTAACAAATTTTCAAAAGAAAGTTTCAGTTCCTACAAAAGACTAATTATATTTTACAAAAGTTTTTTACACAATGCTGTGTTTCCATATAAATCTTCTTTATACTGACTGACCTAAAGTGACATTTCTCAGCATTTCCAGCTGGGCTGAGCTTCAGTGTTTCTCTGGAAAGATTAGATCATACATGCAAACACCGGCAAAATAAAGGCAGACTAAACAGCTGTGGGAATATCTGGAATCAGCAAAAGGAGATTACACCATTCCTTCCTCATCCTACCAAACCGAGGAAAAGAGAGGAAGACCAACTACTCAAACGAGAGACAAGAAAATTATACTTTCTTCCAAAAATATAATCAGGACAACTGTTTCCCATACAATTAATTTGAAAGGCTCACCCAAATAAAATTCCCCCAACACTAAAAGACTAGAAAAGACAGACCGTAGCTAGATAAGATATATAGATAAACAAGTCAGACAGGAGGATGTCTGTCCCGCGCGTTTGTTGTACCTGTTCAGGGTGTTGCCAGCCTGTTATCTCAACCACTGTATTGAAGGAGTCGGCATCAGGCAGAGTCTTGGCTCCCATTGTGAGTCTGACCACAATCCTCTGCCCCCTCTGTGCCATACGCCACATCAGCTCAGCATCCTCTACGGTGATACAAGCTGTAGGGATGCGCTTTACTTCATCTTGGTAGTCCTGCCATCCTGTATGAGGACTAGAGAGAGATAGACAAGGATAGAGATGTATGAATCTTCAGATTAAACCCTCCTTACACTTGACTGAGACAGTTGAGGGTGAATATGCCAGACCCAGAGGCTCTTCACTTGAATGTAATTTTCAGATAGACACCTGTTAATAGAGAATGGAGTAACAGATCGAATGAGTGTGGCCACAGCTCCTACTTTGGCTGCCTCAGAGGCGCCATAAGCACGGTAAGCCACCGTCTCCCCGTAGCTGACAAATGGCTGGTTAAAGACCACAATCCTCCCTATGGCCTCGCTGGCTCTACTCTTCAGTTCCCCAAAAGACTGAACCACCAACACCTCCGCCTCGATACCTGGAGGGATAAGAGTGAGACAATAAGGAGTAAAAGGGAGGTGTATGACAGATGAGGGGCTTTAAGTAGAATTACCGCCAACATCTATTTCTGTCCAGACTACAACAAATACAGGTGCATCTCAGAGTATCGTGAAAAGGTTTTTTCCCTCCCGCAATTTAAGTCAAAAAGTGAAACTTGCATATATTCTAGATTCATTATAGTGAAACATTTCAGCCCCGTTTTTTGTTTTAATCTTGATGATTACAGCTTACAGCTCACAGAAAGCAAAAATCCCTATCTCAAAATATTACAATAAAAAATGTATAATGTAGAAATGTCGACCTTCTGAAAAGTTCTGAAAAAGGTTAATTTATGCACTCAGTACTTGGTCGGGGCTCCTTTACCACGAATTACTGCATCAATGCTGGGGTGTAATAGATAATACTATGTAATACTGTGGTTAGCAAACCAGTTGCTAGTTGTTTTGGCCCTGTGGGCAGGTGCCAAGTCCTGCTGGAAAAGTTAATCAGCATCTCCATAAAGCTTGTCAGCAGATGGAAGCATGAAGTTCCCTTAAAAATTTCCTGTTAATGGCTGCACTGACTCTGGACTGGACCAACACCAGCAGATGACATGTCACCCCAAACCATAATGACTGTGGAAACTTCCCACTGAACTTCAAGCAACTTGGATTCTGTGTCTTTCCACTTTGAGACCTTTATTTCCAAATCAAATGTAAAATTTACTGTCATCTGAAAAGACGTCTCAAGTTTAAGGGGTGGCCTGACGCTATGAATGTGATACTGGACACGTCTGTGTGTGGTGGCTCTTGATGCTCTGACTCCAGCCTCAGTCCGCTCCTTGTGAAGCTCCCCCAAGTTCTTGAATCGGCTTTGCTTGATAATCCTCTTAAGGTTGCAGTAATCCCTGTTGCTTTGTGCACCCTTTCCTACCACACTAACCTTCAATCGAATGAGTGTGGCCACAGCTCACACTTCCATGAATATGGAAGTGTGAGCATATTCAACTTTCCATGAATATGCTTTGATCCAGAACTCTGAACAGCCTCCTTGTGGAGGGGGATAGTGAGTGTCCTCTGGACAACTGTCAAGTCAGGAGTTATCCCTATGATTGTGTTTACGTGTACTGAATCAGACTGAGATTAAAAGCTCTTCTCAGGTCGACATTCCTGTATTATACATTCTTTATTCTTATATTTTGAGATATGGATTTTGGTTTCCATGAGCTGTAAGCTGTAATCATCAAGATTAAAACAAAAAAGGCCTAAAATATTTAATTTTATTTGTAATGAATCTAAAATATGTTATTTTGTATACGTTATTACATTATGGGAAAAATGAACTTTTCACGATATTCAAATTTTCTGAGATGCACCTCTACAGTGAAAATAAAAAAAGGTCTAAATTGTATTTTTTGGCTAAATGAAAGTGCTCACTATACTAATGATACATACTGTAAGTGGGATTTCAGTAAATACACACTGTTGAACGGATTAATGAAGGATTATCATATATGTGTTGGCTAAACAGGACCACATGTACTTGATTACTATGTAGAGACAGATTCTTACAGAGCATGGCTGCACATAACGCGCTGCTTCTGTTTTCTCCTCCGCGTTCATAAGAATGGGACGGACATATGGACAACCATAAACCTGCCGGCGCGGGGTATAGTATAGTCTTTACCTTCAGGTGGTGTCCCTATACTGCTACCCAGTCCCAGTATAGCCAGATTTTTGGCCCTGGGCACAATCATTTCTGCACTTTCCTTCCCTCTGACCCAGTGTGGGATTTTGACCGGCTCTGGAGAAGAAGGGTAAAACAAAACTACTGTCACATTCAGCAGAAGACAAGACATTGCTGAATCCCTTAAATTGTGAAACTCAAGTGAGCAATGTATCCTCATTGCACACTTCACACATCCTGCAACCAATGAGACAGATAAAAAGGCACGCTCACCTAGATGTACATCCAACCCATCCTGTCTCATAGCATTGTACATGTATTTGATAGCCATATCCAGGTTTTCCGAGCCACTGACACGGTTCCCAATGGTGTCGGTAAAGTCAGCCAGCCGTCTGTAAGAGCGGTTCTGGGCAGCTCCAAACACAGCCAGGTCAATAATCTGTTTGGCCACATCAGCATAGCCCGATACCTCTGCAGCTACGTCTGAGACGGGGTTCAAACAGAGACAGACAAAATAAACTCAAGTTTTATATCCAAATCTTTTTTTTTGTCAAGAATATCTTTTAACCTAGAATATCTTAAGTCTTAAAAATCAAATGAAGTAAATATAGTGTCTTTGTCACAGGAAGTAGAATCACCATGTTATATATTTACAAATAATTCAAGGCTTGTAAAGACATGTTCCAAAAAAACATATGCATAATAGGTCAAGGAAGCAATATAAACATATAGTGACTACATAACAGTACTGTATAAGTCAGTGGTAATAAAACTGTGCTTGAATGACTGAGTCTATATTTAGCATCAATCTGCGATAAATGCACTGATACGTGGATGTTTTTTAATATATCCCAAACATCAATTGGATTCCTGTGACCACTGTTTTTCAAGTATTTGAAAGCCCATTCATGGACATAATCCACCCACACAGGTGTTTTCACTGATTAGACCTTTTCTCAAGACTGTGTGGGTGTGTACAAACTTCACTGACAGCTCCCTGACTCTCCTGTTAGCTTTGTTGCACCTGTTAAGGCAGGGCAGCTTACACCATTATCACTGTGGGACCCCCTGGGTTTTTAAAAGTTCCTTTAAAAAATCTAGTGAATTAAAAATAAATTGATAGCAACCTTGATTTCTAAACATAGGACTCTTTCTTAGGGCTGGGCGATTTGACCAAAAATGTTATCACAATAAAAAATTTCTAATAATTTGATATCGATAATTATCACGATAAATGTCAAATCATTATTTCTTGAAGGCTGATTTTTGCTCCTGAGGGAAAGTTGAAGATGGCGACCTGTTCAGGGTGTACCCCGCTTTTCGCCTGATATCAGCTGGGATTGGCTCCAGCCCCCCACGACCCTGTACACAGGATAAGTGGTTGACGATGGATGGATGGATGGTTTTATTGCCCAGCCCTATTCTGTCCTTTACTATGTGTGTGATGGTAGAAGTGTTTGGGTTACCTTTCTTTGCAGTATGATTGGATACAGCCCTGACTGCAGCCATTGAACTCCTGGACCCAGCAGGGTGAGGGTGACAGCCACACAGAAATGAATGCATGGAGAGAAACATGAAGATGGAGAGGAGGAACAGCAATCCAACCTTCTGAGCCATCTGCAGACCAAAAAAGTACCAATGTGATTACAAATCAGACAGTCTTGTGGATTAATAGCTGCTTAATTTAATTTTACCAGCAGCACATCACTGATCCATTCCTGCTAACGTTACAAGTTTCACTTTAATGGTAATTTGTTAGTCTAATTTACAGCTCTGGGGCTTTAAAGCATGTTTTCCAAAGTTTAATAAAAAACTGTAAATCAGTATATCTACTTAATTATAAACCCTAAAGCACCAAACACGTAATGCTGCATAATCCCACATATTTAAAAGTTTAACGTTAGTTAGTTACATGACTATTAGCTAGTTTTTGGCCCTGGCTGATGAAGTGTTAGTGTCACTGAGAACAGATGATGTTAGCCCACTCCCAGTCAAGGCCTGACAACGTTACTGGTTGAGCTAGACATTCAAATACACAACCAATATCAACGTTGCGCTATGGTTGCGCCGCATTAGCAAATTCAAACTCACCGGGCTTTATCTTTTATTGACAACAAAACGCTCGACAGTCAGATTTTATTGCAGACAAACTGTGGAGAGAAACGTTACTATAGTTGAACCGTCTGAGAGTAACGTTAACAGTGAGCATAAAACTTAATTTTAAACGCTACATATACATAAACATAACACAAAAACAAACCCTTCAGGCCAAGTTAGTCGCTTTGTTATCGTTGATGTTACAATACCTCTTACTGTAATCATGGATGTATACATGAATACCGGAATACAAACACCGTTTCCGCGCTCGTGATTTCAGCGTGTCCAAGTAAAGGAAACTTCCGGTACGACTGTCACAATAAAAGCGCCATCTCTACAAATCTATTGCAGTAAAATAAAGAGTAAATGAATAAATTAACCTATTCAACAGATCAATGATGGAACCACAAATACTGACTTTTTACATGGTAAAATTTGTTTTGATCAGTTTGTTTCATTTAACCATAGAAGTACTATAATAACACACTGCTATTATGCATTTCGTTACTATACTACTACTCATTTCTATAATCATGCGAGCCAGTATTAGCAAAACACACAATGATTTAGCCCAAGGTAGTTTAGGGAAAACCATGACAGACTCTCAAAGCCAGATCTTTAACATTGATTATTATCTACTCATTTCACATTAGTCATTTGATGATTAGAATGAAGGTTCATACATGACACTCTTTTCAGCTGTTGTTTCATAAATAGATCATCCCTACCTTTAACTTAAATGCAGACAAATAACTAAATATAAAGGGCTAAATGTAATCGCAGCTCTAACATTTTTGTTATTTTTATTGAACTAGTCTGTGAAGATGTGATTTTACAAATGGAAGGAAACAACACAGCTGGAAATATGAACTGTATTAATTGCACTTTGAACATTACATTGCAGAAATGAACTCCCTATCAATGCTGCTTTTATTCTCAAATTATAGACAACAAATTATAGTGTTTGATGCGACACTATTATAGAACGTGTCTTCTTCTGACATTTCCATATTTCCTTGTCAACAACATTAGTTGCCAAAAAGGTGTCCTGTGCTTAAACTTTTGTGTATCTACGCTGTAGAAAACACAGCACTTCTCTGGCCACATCCCTATCCGTGGTTTCCATCCTCCATCCTTCTCTACCACTAATCTTCTGCGTTCCTCTGCAGTCATTGGCATTCACTGCCCCACCCTGTGAGGATGGTTACATTAATGTTTACTTATACTTTTCTTACACTCTACTACTACTTTAGTATATTACTTTTTTAAAACAGATTATGAATGTTCAGGCGTTAACACCTCTTTACTTTTACTATTTGCCTTTAACATAATGATATATAAGACATTCAGTATCTTTCTATCTTTCCCCAGTTTCTTTTTTCTTCTGCCATTTGTTTTCTCTTCTCTGCATCATCAGGTTTTGGAAAACCTGACCATTTGGCTCCATTCACATGGTGCTGGCTTGGTTTAACACAGCGGTATGAAAATATTTGTTTTCTGGCACCTACGTTTGTAAGAGGATGTTTGTTGAGGCTGGGAGGACGTTTTGCTGTGCTACTTTGCAAACAAGTGGAACAAAAACTTCAAATGAGTGCTTCTACCTGCAGCTCACCTTTCAAAATTGGCACATTTAAATGGCCTAACCAGTAGCTCGTTTTAAGTGTATCCAGTCAGAGCTTTCATCTATTGACACAGTGAATATCTGTAGCACAATTAGAAGACTTGCTAAATATTATAGTATTGGTCTTACACAACACTGACTACAAAACCGCATTTACAACACAGAGGTTGGAAAAATAAAATTATTGCCTCAGCAGCCAATAAGTAGACTACACATAGTTTGTGTTTGGGTCAGAGGAAAATGGATAGAAAGGAGGGGGGGGGAGAAAAAGGTCAATAAAAGGTCAGGACAGGGTGCTGTTGCTGTTGATTGAATACATCTGTCTTGTTGTGATGTCTGTGGATGTGTGTATGAGTGAAGAAAGAATGTATGCTGATATACTCCAACCAATCCCCAAAACCAAAAAAATGACAGACAATTTTAGAATTGCATTAAAGCCACATCTTTTACTCAGCAGTGAACCCACAGATACACCATTTCATGACACAGTTCTCTATTGGCCACCCCATATGCTTATGTCACCATTTTATCTCTAAGTTGGTTTTTGGTTGTCCCTTCCCCCATGTAGTCAATTCATATTCAAATATGATCAAAATGAAAATTAAAGCTGCAATATATTTACAAGGAACTTATTACTTACTTTCATTAAATGCATTCATATGAAAATGTATTTTAAAAAGGCTGGACAACCGATAATGAAATTGAATTAAACCAAGGCTTGTCAAATACACTAAAAACATAAATATCAAAACAAACTGAGAAGTAGGCACAAACAGGCTTTGACCATGAGTAAATACTGTACACTCCAAGTTTATCGCGGACATTGGATTATAGTATAAGCAAGTATAAATTACTACATATAAATTATAGTATCATCAACATACTGTATAAACCTACGGAGATCCTAGAAGAGAAAGGTTGTGGTGTGTCATCACCTGTTGGATTGCCAACAAGTGTTAACCCGTTGTCTTAACCCTCTATGGTTATGGTCTGTGTTGGACATTTGTCCAAATGTCAGTTTTTCCTAGCCCTGTCTAGCCCAGAACTATTACAGTTGTGTTTTTGTATAGCTTGATGGTCAAAACATGACACAGACACTGAAAGAGCACTGTAAATGAATGTATACGATGTTTTGTAAGGCACTGAAGAAGTGCCCAACAAATTTCCAACAAATCAACAGTAAGTCACAGTGTGTTAGTGATAAGATTGTCCTGTTTATTCTAGCCATAGCAAATAGGTAGTTTGCATTCAGATAATCTAGAATAGCTTTAAAATTATTTTCTATAATAGCAGAGAAAAGTATATCAAGTAAACACTATTAATTTGCTTCGATTAAAGGACAAAAGATAAATGCAGCCCCACAACTTTCACTGACTTCACGTTGCCTCATGAAGGGAATCAAACTGTTAACAGACAAAAAACTGTTTTGCAACAGATTTTTGAAGCAGATAGGGACAGTGCCCTTTGACACAGGATGAAACAGACAGAAATAGCCATTACAAATCTATACCAATTTAACGTTTGTTATGAGACATTAAACTCAAAGTCAAGAAAGTCAGAGCAAAAAAAAACCAAATAAACCAAATGAGACCAATGTAATTTCAATGAGAATGTGTAGACAGGGGGTAGGTCTACTCACAGTTTAACCACTTAACCCCACCTCTCTGTGTGTATCAATCACTGATCCCAGTTATCTTGATAACCAAAGCTCGTTAAAAAAAAAAAAAAAAAGACCTTTTCATAAAGATTGTAAGGCCATCAATAGATCTGCTTAAAGACAACATTCCCCCCATTTCAGTAAGAGGCTGATGTGAAAAACATTGTTCTTTGACATATAATAAGTTGGTAGCTAAAATTCATCAGACACCATCTAAAAAGACTATCTACATAGATAGTCATATATATATATATATAGTTTAAATCCCCAATATTTGCACAAAAATATAAATTTAACAGGGTGTATAAAAGTAAAATCCAATCAAAAGTGAATACTGCCCTATTGTCGTTGCTGCCTCCTGTATCCTTACTGAAACTCTAAGCCCCCAAAGGCTCCTTTGTTTGGCTGGTCGAGGTAAAGACTGATAGGAAACACTTTTAAAACCTGACATGCTTATGCTTTGATTAGCATTGTAACAAATTAAAAAGAATTTGCAATTAGTAAGTAAATTACTGATTTGGGATAATTCAGTCAGTCACATTGCTTATTACAGTTGACAGATAAACAGACATCTATAATTGATTGTATTTTTAACTTTCCAACCCTGCTGTGTGAACAAGCCCCAACTCTATAAATCTTAAGAAACACTAAATGCTTTCACTGTCCCTTATATTCAAACCCGTTATTACAGTTGACAGTCAGAAAAGAATGTGCTTTGGCTGTCGTCAGAAAGCGTTGGTCACTTTTCACTTTGGTTTCTGAATTATAGATGTTAGACTTGGCTCTACCTTAGCAAACCTGTCCTATGCTTGCTGCACACATTCACCAAATAAAATAGTCCTGAAAATATTACTAATGTTGGACCGATGCAAGGTTGAGGGACTACCACTGTATGAATACAATGAAATGACCAAAATCTCTTTTTAAAAATGGCTATAATCTCTTGACATCAAAACACATCAAAACAAAAAGCTTCAAAAAATAATTTTCCAAAAGACATCTAAAGCACATTTACATTTTGGTCAGTTATATAAGTGTGAAATATCTTTGAGAAAACAACAAAAACATGTACCTGCAGAGTAACAAAATCTCTCATATCAATACTGGACAGCAAGACAAAACATTAATTCCTCAAAACAACAAGAAAATCTTCAATTCAGCAAAGAAAGCGTACAAGAAATGAAATGTAACAATGACAAATGTTTACAAACAGCAAATTTTACCTCAAAGAAAAAAGGGTCTACATTTGTAATACTAATCCCATATGTGGTAACATTCCTATTGACAGCATTCAAAATGCGTTAAGGCTATTCATGTTTCTGTGAACTTCCTCAGTGTTGTTAAGATGAGCTGGGACAGTTCAGGCTGTAGCTCTGCTAAATGGGACAATCGATTTGTCTAAAGCAGCCCAAAGTCCAGTGTGTGGTTCACCTTAGAAAAAAGTAATGTGGGTGAAAAGGCACAGTGATATCAACCTGGACTAGAACAGTTCAGCTCTAGAAAAGATTCCTCTCTTAAAATGTAGGACGTGTATTTCATGTCTAACTCCTTCTGCAGAATGGAATGAGACAAATGTATTTTAATAGTCTTATTTGTTCTCGTATGACCTCTTCCTCACAAACACTGAACATTATATACAGAGATGTTAATGGGTAGCAGAGGAGGAAGGTAGAACAGAGAAAAAGAAAGGGAAAAAATGTAAGGAGCATTGCAGAAGAACAGAGGTGCTTGACTTCAGACTTCATTCAGAAGAATCATCTTCAGTTGTTTATCAATCGATTCTCAATTCTGATTGTGAGGAATCGATTTCCGTTCAAAGTCCCTTTCGGTCAGTTCAGGCATAGAACTCCTTGGTAGGCGCTTTGTGATAGATTGTTGAGGAAAGTTTGGTGTCTCCCAGGTCATAGCTACCTTCATCCTTTTTCTTCATACGGTAGACGAGGAGGAGGAGGAGGAAAACGGCGCAGAGAAATCCCACCACTCCACACGCTATCACCGCTGGAGAGGGCATAATGAAATATTAAAATATGTTTTCTTGATACTTGCTGCAAAAATTGAGACAAAAATAAAATTCCTGAAATTAAAATCTTAATATAACTCAAGAAATGTATGCTTCATCATAAAACCTTTGTGTTTAGTCTTCAGATACTGTTAATTGTCAAAATCTCAGTGAATTACCCCATTAAACCAGGCATGTGGGAACAATAAACATGCAGAAAAGCCTTGTAGAAATCTGTCCTTACCTGCCAGCACTTCCGTCCTCTCCCACAAGTTCTCCGAGGTCACCTCTTTGGGAGAGTCCATCTCATACATTCTGCTGCCTTGGCCATCTTTGGCCAGAATTTCATTTTCAAACTCTTTGATCTGGATGTCATCTCTGCCTTCTGTGGTCGCCGAGACATCCCACATATCCAGACTGTTGTCCTTGTCTGCATCTTTGGACACAATGATGTCTTTGCCGAATTTGGTTGCAGTAGTTTCACTGGGAGGCAAGCTGGTGGAGCGGAGGCCGGTACTCTGTGAAAATATTATTATTATTATTATTATTATTATATGTTGCAGGAAAAAAAGAATAGATCATTTTTAGGAGTCTCAATTCTTGCAAGGGCTTTGGTTCATGGCATAAGGATTTGTAGAAAAGGAAAAGCATAATCCACCTCCTCATCCTCTTTGTCCCCACCAGGGAGTATGAATGGTGTTGTCTCGGTGTCCTTCACTGTGGTTGATGGATCCTTGCTATCTGCTGCTGTGGTTGCTGGGTTGTCCCGAGAGTCTGCTGTGGGTTGAGGTTGACTTGGAACCATTTCTTTGGAGACTGTGGTCCTAGAGAAGTTGGAAATCCTCCTGAGCATGTTGTCTGTGAAGTCGTTGAAAGCTGAGATAGAGGAAACAATCAGCACACATTTGACCCGATTGCCCTTTCAACCTAGCACTATTTTAGACTTCATTTTTAAAACGGAGGTCAAAGAAATCTCAGATTTTGTTATTTTGATCCCCCCCCCAGATAAAATGGAGGATTAATTTTCACTTTATGGGTGGAAAATATTCTCCTACTTCATAAGATTAATCCATGAATATAAAAATGTATTTGATTATCTGAAAATCAAATTGTCACAGAGCTAAAAACAGGTCTGTTCTTCTCAGACATTTTGGAGATACATGTCTTTATGGGAAAGAAAAGAAAATGCTCTCAGCAGGTTTATCCGTTCCTTTTACGTACAGGAGGGATGCAACCTGTGAGTTTTACTACGTGGTGAAATGTCCCTAACCACATCATAGTTTAAACTGTGAGTGAATGTTCTGAATGAGCTAAATGTTCCAGCACATTATTCACTGCGGGCATAAAGGTGAGTCACTGACAATAAAAGCAGTCAGAGCGTGATCTGACATCTGCGCGCTCACCTGGTTAACTCCATATCACCTCAGGACAAACATCTGGTACACTGTGAGTGAGCGCTTCTGTGTCTGAATATACAAATACGTGTGTCTGCAGTGCACATATTGCTCATGTGTCTGACATGAGATGAGATGCATGTTTTGTCAAACTAACTGCCTGTAAGGACATTTTGAAGACATGATTGGAGATTACAGTACAGATGTACAGTAACTATACAAAGATTTGGGCCCATTTTCTCAAAAGCAGACGATCTCTGTCCCATTGTTAGTCTACAGATGCTTTCGGGAAACTGGGAATGGCAGAAATGGAAAACACATGATTTGAAAAATAAAAATCACAGTCCACATGATTATTATATACTGTTTGTTAATTTTACCCAACAAAAATAACAATGTATTTTTTTAAACCCCTCCATTTGTATCTTTTTTTAAACAGCTAAAACAAGTAATGTGAAGTTGCTATCAAAACCATATCCATTAATAAAAAATAACAGAGCAAAACAATTAGAAAACAAAGACGGCGGCCTCCTTACCGTAGTTTCCGGATCCAGAGCCTGAACCCTCGTCTTCACCATCATCATCATCATCATCTATAGGGAGGTTACCTGATGCTTGGCCCTCTAGGTACAGGTCATCTGCTGTGGAAAAGGATGGCTGGGAGGAGACCAAGAGCTGGAAGAGAGGAACAGATACTATTATTAAAGCAGAAGGGAAATACCATAGACAGTATATTACTTGACGAAGCCACCCCATTAGTTTGATTGGAGAGCAGTGAAACGCTACTATACGGCTACTTCCTGTTGGCACAAGTGTCTACTGCGCGTGATCGCTCAGCATAACTGTGGTTTAATGACAGAGAAACGGCAGAAACACCGTAATTCTGGTAGCTGCACAAACAAAAAGTTTCTTGGCTCAGTGCGTTTGTCTGACTTGGATCGTCACTGTTTAATCCGCCCACCTACGTGGCTCACCTGCCAAACACCAACGCATCGTCACTGATGGCCGAATAGTTGTTTTACATTCACTGAGAGTTTATAATCTAAGCAATACGGTTACATCTCATGTGCGACGGGATGTCACAGGATTTTGACGTCATTTTTGGGCCTACTAAGGACCGTCCATGCAGGCCTCACTGTTTCAACTGTGGCTTACCCCCTTGGGAAATACGAACAGACAGAGGAAGGGAGGATTTCTCCAACTAATTGAAAACATGTGAATGTCTCAGTTTGGGAGTAAGACAATACTTCTCACAACTGATGACCTATGGTGGCCAAATATGCCAGAGTGCTCACTGGTGTCCGTGAGTTTAACCAGAGCGTGTCTTGCATCCATACTGTAACATGGATAGTCAGATGGAGGCTGGCTTCTTGTTCATTTTACGTGTTGTGGCAGTAATTTGTGATGCTTCACAGAGCCAGACAGCAGAGATCTAAGTGTGTTTATGAGGAGGAGGGAGAGATAGAGCAGCTTCAAAGCCAAGTGGACACACACATTGAAGAAAAAAGAAATAAAAACAGGACAAACCTCTCATTAACCCAAACACTATGCAGGGGAGAGTGATGAAAACCAAAACCCAGCTTTGCTGGTCACCTGAAGCCTAGTCTAATTAAAAAAAAAAATCAATAAAATAAAAAATACTAGCCATAGAGACAAGGTACACCTGAGATTAAGTTAATCACTTGAAATATGACCGTCTCTATGTTTGAAGCGGAACAAAACAATAAAACAAACGCTGAGGCAGATTAGAAAACACACATGAATCAAAGACAGCAAGCTGATAATGAGTCAGAAATTCAAAAAGAAAGGAAAGGCTTAGCAGATGTTAGTGGTTGCGATGAGACACACAGACATGGATGAATATGGCCCATTGAGACCTGAAGTATGTCTGGTATGTATACTATGCTTCCACTAACACAGGTGCTGAGAGAGGAAGGAGGGAGACTGGAAAAGGGAAGGAATAGAAGGAGAGAGACAGGGACAGCACTGTATGTTTCTGGTAAAAACGGGTGCTGGTGAGATAGGAGAAGATGGGTGAGGAGGTGTATCTTTTAGTGCAATAAATATTCACACTTGAGGGATGTAAAGGTAGAAATCAAGTCTTAAAGTGTAAGTCTTCTCTACCAACACTAGCCTTTCATTTGGTAGTGTGCCTTTGTTTATCAGTAGGCAAGAAAGTTCCCTTTAAAAGGCAACAAACCAAGCCAAATCATGTTGATGGTAACTGCTTTGATTGATCAGGTTTTCTGCAAATGATGAACATAATGAGAGAGTCAAATAAGACATCAGAAATGATAAAGTGGTGTCCCGGAATATATTTTTTAATAATACATATGTATACCTATTTTTGTTATCAATAAACTTCTGTAGATGAAGGGCTAGGACAAATGTTTCAGCTCAATTTCCATGGTGACTTCTGGAGATATCAGATTTTGTTCAAGCTAACTGAGATGTAACAAGAGAAACCCCCAGTGTGAGATAAACCAGATGTTGTGTTCACATTCTGGGGAAAAAGGCCAAACAGAAAATCATTTACATTCATTTTCAAAAGACAGAAGAGTCTCACAGTGTCAGGGCTGACTAAAATAGCAGAAGGGACAGCCTTCAACCAGGGATTACAAAAGCAGATGCCGTGCTTGTCAAAACGAAACGCACACACACAAAAACATGGAACAGCAGCAGACATACAAATGTGATGTTCATAACGGCTTTGCTGTACATTTTGCTAATACTTTGTCTTTAATTTTTTTTTTTATTCAAGTGGATGACCAAAGAAGGTTTTTGGGCTTTCACTGGTCTTGGTGGTCTGGCCTCTTTGATAGCTTTGAAAAAGTCTCAGAACTGTACAAACTGAATTGTCCCAGTGAAGGAGAAACACAGTGTACACACTGAAAATGAGCAGGATTCCCATTTAAGGCCTCAACTAGCCCTACTGTGACCTCAGGTGCTGCTGAACTGATGGCTTGCAAAACACACCACCTCCACCTACCTTATACAAAATCACTCACATACATTGATATAGGCATTATGGTTGAGATCCATATCTCCATTAATAAAGATATATTCCTATATCAATAAATACAACAATATGGCAGATGGATACACAATCACATTAGGGCTGGGCAATAAATCAATAATGATAATTATTGCAATATAATTTTTCTCAATAACAATATAACAAAAGGTTCAATATATTGTCAATAAATGTTTAATTTAATTCATTTGAATCACGAACAAATTAGCAATTATTTTTTCTATTAAGATATTTATTTTGTTGAGAAAAAGGGACTGAAAAAAGATTTTCTAAATTTTACTCAAGTATATAATTAAAAAAAGGATTTTTATCTTCATTGTTTTGAATGTTCTTCTAACCATTAGATTTCTTCAAAAATCAGCCTTTTAACTTGACAGAAATAATAATTTGACATTTATCGTGATAATTATCGATATCAAATGGTATGAAATTTTTTAACGTGATAAAAGTTTTAGCCATATTGCCCAGCCCCAAATCACATCAAATAATCAACTGATGTTCAAAGCAAATAACTGTGATTCAATGATCTACATTACATCAGATGACACTCTGCAGAACTCTAACATAAATTTGTACAAAAGGACAAAAATTATCATATTTTCATTACACTCCCCTGAAGGTCTATGATCATATTGATCATAATTGAACTATTGCCCAGGGTTAGGGTTAGGCACTACTGTGATATGAGCATAATGAATCATTTAGTTAATAAAGTTTCAGGAAATACAGTCCAGAACCTGAACACATTCAGTTTACTATGAAAAAACAAACAGAGAAACACAGCAAATCCTCCAATATGAGAAGCTGCAAACAGAGAAAGTTTGACATTTAAATGACTTAAAAGAGGAATTAACTGTCTGAATCTGTTTTTCAAACACATGTACAGACAATGTAACATACTAAATCAGCTCATCACTTTCTCCCCGCTTGCCAGGAAGAAGTTATGCATGAGGCTTTTACTGGAAGACTTCCATCATTTGAGAGGTTACACACATCTGCAAAACATATATATGTGCATAGGTCACACACATACACACAGACCTTATATAACCATCTGTTGTCCCAGTGCTTTCTCAGAGTGAAGACAGCTCTCTGGAAACAACAAGGTTGCAGTGATAAAAACACTATAAACAGGCAGTAGGGGAAGGTGTATGAGTTTGTTTGTCGGAGTATTATGATTAAATCGTTTGATCAACAAATCCACATTTTGCGTGTCCTCTGGATTAACAGTTATTAAAGTAAGATATTTCCCCCAGTGAGCTGGAAGTCAACGATAATGAGAGAGCAGTTGGGCCAAGAGTGAGGTTGTGTAACAGCCAAAAGTACACAGCGGGCCTGTCATCACCATCTAGATAGCAGTAGCGGCGGCACAAAACGCTGTGTTTGAGTGGGCGTATGTTTGACCAAGGCTACGAGTCATAAAATGCCTGACCCCTCATCGTCGAATGTATCCGTTTAGTTGTTTAACAGCAGTTATAGTCTCCTACGGCTTCACAGAGGCAAACATTTATCTGACAGACAAAAGAAAAAAGAGCCAATTCAAGGTAAATAGAAATATTACAATTTTGTTTGGTAGGATTGTCCAAAAAGACAGTGGTATAAAAGATTTTTTTTCCCCAAATTCCTAAATGTGATACTAACATCCAGAAAGAGACACAATATACACTTTTGTCTACACATAGAGAGTATTATGATGCCCTTAATTCAGATACGTATCACAGTTATTTGAACTGCTGACCCCAACACTAAAAAGGTCTTAGTATACACTATTTGGCAAAAGATAAGATTTTAATCAGCTCTGTGGTGGAGCAAAGAGCAGCACAAAAGAGACTCCCCATCACCACCAATGTGTGTTTCAGAAGCACTGTGAGAATAATCAATAATAACGAGAGCAGGTGTCAAACTCTTCCTCCTTCTTACTCTGGTTGGGTGGAAAACTGCGTGCATCCCACGCACTTACATGCTTGTCAGGACTAGCCCGGTAGGACTCACCGTGAGTCACCATGCCAGATAATGACACTACTACCGGCTCACAAGCTGTCACACCGAAAGCCTGTTTCAACATTCATCTTTCAGATCTGTGCGACATCACCAACTGACTAACCAGTAATTCTACAGCCACACTCAGAGAAAGAGACAGTTTGAATATACACCGTAAACCATCACGCCCAGCAATTTAGGACTGAGGTCTGTGTATTAGTAGCATGAAGTAAAGTGGAATCAAAGGCTGTGTAGAGCAGAGTATGACCCACATTACAAGATGACAATCTTAAAAATGTTCTTTTTCAGTAATCACATCTGTTTATAATAGATCTTGTTCTCAGATTAAAACTCACAGGGCCTTACATGGTAAAGAAATTACAGTAAAGTGTAATTATTCCCTCTCTGTCTCCACAACTCTTTCAGTATTTAGTATAGATGCTGCCTTGCCAGTTCCTGCTACACATAACCTGCGGCACAGTCTCTGTTTCGGCTCTCTCCCTTTCACAATATACACTCAATAAATCATAAATATCACGATTTTCTGAAGAGGTGGCAAAATTCTCTGGCTCTCATTTGGGACTTTTTGCAGCCAATAAATCATGCAACTGGGATATTTTGACACTTGTGACAATGTACAGAGCTCTGCTTTAGCCTGTCATTTCCAGGTGTTATCCAGCTTTACAACAGACCGCACACACATGAGAGGAGGGGAGAGACTGTCATGGGATCAGGATGAGATTTTTCTAATTAGGGACAAGTTGGACTTGTCAGGTCAGGAAGAAGGATTGTGTCATTCTTACCATTTTCATCCCTGTTAAATATTCATTATTTTCTGATGCAACATTTCATTTTGCAAACTTGACCCAAGCCCTGTGTGGGAGAGAAATTCAGGTCAGGTCTGGAGGTTTGGGCTGAAATGTTAAAAGCTCTGAGGGAGAGGCTAAACAGACTTTGGCCCAGTGTGAACTCGAGACCGACTAGACCCGAACTTGGCTTGAATCCACAGTGTATGGATGAATATAGTAAATCCCGCATTAGTCCGCCAATGTACTTATCTCAAATGCTGTTGCTTTCTAGAAGATAAGATTCCCTTGTGCTTAAAAAACAGCTATGCTCCTTTTCACGTTGATCAATTTTAGCAACGACCAACATTAAATAAAGAGTCCAGGCTGAGCAATTAGGGATGTTGTGTTAAAAAAATAAACACTGAACAAGCTAGGAAATTATAACATTATATGTAACTTAGGGCATTTAAAAATACAATCCCGTTGATTTTAAGGGAACACAAACGGAGAGAAGGGGCAACTGAACAAAATTAAACAATGCGGAGGGTTGACTCTTCTAAACGTATCTTAACGGCTAATTAACGTTAGTGAATTTTCTCGAGATAAAAGAAAGACACATGGTCGACGTTATTGAGTCAAATAGCATTCAAGTTTCACATGCCGTTGGTTGCTCGATGCTTTAAATAAAACCGCAATTAAAAGCCACTTACTTTTTCGCTGATGAATCCAGCCGCCAGCCCGACGAGGAACAACAACCGCAGATTCCTCATCTTAACTTCAATAGCCTATAAGATGATAGTTTTAAGGGGGGGGGGGGACAAAATAAAAGGTGAGAAAACAAAATAAATTACTAAAAAGCCAGATTATGTCGTTCCGCTTATTCCTCGTCACGTTTTCGGCTACTTTGTTAAATCTCAGCACTTCGGTGAACGACGCGTTGCGATGTGGAGCTCCTCTGGAAAAGTTGTTTGGACTGGCAATCAGCGTGGATACGGGATGACGTCAGCACGGCGTGACGTTCACTGAGGGGCGTTTAGACAAACACACATACACACACACCTTACAGGGGTGTGACCTATATCAAAGGGAAGGGAAATAAAAAACATTTTAGGGGGAAAACCATGGGACTTTTATTTCGCTGCAAACCAAAAATAAGAAGATAATTTGACATGTTAAAGAGTCAAAGACATGTCTTGACAGGTTTTAAACCACTATCACCTCAAAAACTTATAAATGACTGATAAATATCATCTGTACTTTTTGTGGAGAATTAAACAAAATGCTGGTCCATTTATTTTGCCCTCACACCAAGAAACCTTGGAACAGATTGTCACATTTTGTTCCTGTCCACATTTACTCTCAATTTGCCATATGAGGAGATGAACTCTGCTAGGGCTGTTTACCCTTTGCTATACCAGGGGCATAGCACAATATTCTGGACCCTGTACATAGGCATTCTCTATGGGCCCCTCCCCGCATTTACAGCTATTAATTCCTAGTTCTAGTATCTTGTGGGTCCTCCTCACATGAGGGCCAAGCATACTCTGTCCCCTTCATCCCACCAGTCCTGCACCCCTGGCCCTTAACTACAGACAATTACCTGCCTTACTGTAGGTTACATTACTCTGAAAATGATGGGCGGATATTTCATGTCACTGTTGGTGGGGACAACAAAAACATCGCCCTCCAGTAGACCTTTAAAAACAAAGGACTGATCAAGGTAGGCCACGGACCAAACCACTGTGAGACTTACAAAACTTTAAAAAATCTTCGGATTTATAGTAGAGAATGAGAGTAACTGTTTATATACCAAATGCATTGACCAGACGCCAACAGAGGCCTACAGTTTTTTTTGGGCCGATTAGCAGAAAAAAGGAAAATAAAATCCCCCGAGCACTAACATGGCAAATTTTAACGTCTTAAGATGACAGAAAATAGCGTGTTAAAACCTCCATTTTGGGTGCTTTCTCTTCATTGTTCATCTTCTGGATAGGAATGAGAAACTGTAGAGGATGTAAAGTACAGCAGTTCTTAAGAGTACTTGAGGGTTTTTTGCCCCTTGAACTTTACTAAACTCTGAAATAATGTAAAGATGTTACATTATATTATAAAATTAACTCATTTTGCAGCACATAGATTAGATTTATTTGAAAAATAACAAGTGAGAACATTCTGACCCCACTTTCTCTTTCCCTCCAGAGTGGCTACTTTATACGGTAGGACTGCAGGATTATCATATAGACCTTGCCCAATTCTTGATTTTAGAATTGCGATTGTAATTTGATTTATAGAACAGCTATATACTTATTACATATTTAGTGCAGGCCTTTTTTTTACTCGGTGTGGACATTAAAAATCACCTACAGGATATCTAGTCTACCGAATTAATTTGATCAAAGGCGGATTTTTCATGTCAATGTTGGTGGGGACAATAACATCATCCCCAGCGGGAAATTTTTAAAGTCACTGAGGGTCTAAAAAAGGACTGAAACACTTTGGAAATTAAAAGTTGATAACCTACATAAAACTGTAAGCAGCAACTGTAAGCCAGTCATTTTTAAATACATACAATTCAATAACCTTTTTAGTATCCCATACGGTTTTTATTGTACTTTTTAAAGTAGGGAACTAAGGAGTGGGCTTCCACTGAAGTGTATAAGATAATTTTTTAACTATATGACAATATGACTCCCTCTAGTGCAAAAGAGCGGTTATGACAAAAAGTACACACAGCTCTACTGTTAAGTCACTTTGACACATAAACTGAAATATTAAAACAAAATAACTCTCTTTTGTACCAAACAGATTTACCGTGATGAAAGTTTCCTTTTTTAAAGTACTTTTCCATGAAAAAAAAAATAAAATATTAAAATATTCCACATCTATGAGAGAAAATGTCACTTTTCTTTGCTGCTTTTTGACATCATCTACTAACATCATTGATTCTATCCAGGCAGTCAGCACAAACGCACATTTTAGTGATCACTTGTTAATCAATAAAGAAATAAGATAGACATCAGCTGCTAGAACGGTTATGTAGTTCTTAATGATACGTTCAAAAAGTCCCCATCACAAATGAAACATATACTATAAACACTGATGATCTGGAATCTGAACATACATCACAGTTTAGGCTCTAATCATTGTGTATGTGACAATGATATATGTTTTTAGTTTTTATTCACAACCAAGTGGATGTAATTACACACTTGAAGACTCTTAAATGTCAAAGCTGAAACTGACAAAGGTGCCTTGAAACCACAGACTGTATAAAAAAGCCTGAAACGGGTGGATTCTTATAATAAAAAATAAAATAAAATTATAAATATTGGAAATAAAATATGTATGACTATAAATTATATTTGTACTAATTTGTTTTCATTTTGACACTTAAGAGCTTTTTGTAGTTTTGCAGTGTTAGAAAAGCTCAATAAAGAATGGAATATTCCACAAATATTTTTTATAGGCAATAAATAAAACACAGAGATACAACAAAAGTTTAAGTATTTGGCTGTGTTTGTTAGATAAAATACACAGTTCTATAATGCAGTGCTTTCCAACATTTTGGCTTGTGACCCCTGAAGAGAGCCAAATCTTCTGGTGATCCCTCGTCACTTGTTGCGTAAGTCTATCAGCTTCGACCAGTTCAACCAAAGACCCCTCCAATTTATTTGGCAATCTTGAGGATATCATGAAACCCAGTTTGGAAACCACTGCTGTAAGGCATATGTTGAATAGTACTTGCAGTAGTTTGCTGTGGTTTAAAGTACCCCAGAATGAAACAGAGTTTTCCTTTTAGTTTAAGTTTTAAGTCCTTTAAGTTTTTACATGTTGTCATTGAGTTTTGCCTTTAAGATTTAGAAAACTAATAGCTTTTTAACAATAGAAACGGGAGAAAGTCATTCAGACATATTTTTGAAAGTTCTTTATGAATAAAGACACTTAAATTTTGGGGCAAATGAATTTGAGACAATCAGTAAAGTTTAAACAAAACAAAACAACTGGCAACAAGTTTTTTTCAGACTAAGGAATAACTGCTGATGCAGCTCACCCATTGTTTTGCTAGAAATGCCTGAAAGTTATGTTGACAATCACATCAGATACCAGATTATCATCTGATAAATCCTTGTTTTTAAGAGCAGTAAATGTTTCAAGAGTTTAGACAATGTCCTCATTGTCTAACTGGTGTTACAATGTTGCTGTAAAACTCAGCTTAGCAAAGGCAGACATACTGGTGATAGAGGAAATAACGTGTCATAAACCTTAACAATAGACTTAATTTGGTTCACATTTATTTAAATCAAATTAATATGATGTAATCCTTTAAACACACTTTTTTAACCTATGAAATGAGGGAACATAACTGCATGTAAGGTGTTTATCATATTATTAGGGATATCTGTTTCACTCGCCCATATATCCATCCACTGCTTGAAAATCAGTGATGACAGAGCAGTACTCTGTGCCCACATGTTTTATCCACCAACACAGTAGAAGAAATGACGGGGACACAGAAGAACACATAACACATTGTTGTCTCCAGACATTTGGATGCAGTCTCAGCCTCTACTGTAAGCATGGGGGAGTAAAACAATGAGGTGTTTTTCCCACCTAAATACAGAATTCAGGATGTCCAGTGTGGTAAATCAATCGTTTTTAAAGCTGAAGAGAGAGTCTGTAGGTCTGTGGCTTTTTACAGAGCAGATGTATAGTTTCATCTGACTCCCGCCTTGATGTCTGATGCTTTGATGCTTCTCTTCCAAACTGGAGGGATCTGTATCACATTCAAAAGAAACGACACTTAGCATATTACACAATCTTTAACCACTGTTTCATCTGGCGTAATTAAAGAAAATGATGTCCAGTAATTTATATCAGCAATTTGAGGTAAGGAGTGGCCTTATAGAGATTAAAGACTGGTATTCACCATGTGAGGTGCCATGGTACCATATTAAGAATCTAATAAAAACCAAAATTTGTATTACTAGCGGGGGTACTGAAGGCTCTAGATGTCGTCCCAAGAATGACAGCAGTCGTCTCCATATCAGCCCGCTGCCCAAGAACATGAAGCCTGTTACCAGCCAGAAAACACGAGGGTCCTGATGGTAAACACAAACAGGCAAACACATTAAGGAAAAGTATAAAAACTCAGACGACACTGCAGCAACACTGGAAGGCTACAGAACAACAAAAGAGACAAGCACGTCTGCATGCACGTCCACAAACAAAATGTAATGATTTTAAATTTCTTTGAAATTCACACTGACATAACAATCAACCATTTTTAATTAAATCAATTTATTTTTTTTCTGTAAAATAAAATGACAAATGCTTATTAGAAACTATACGAAGCCAAAGTTTTGTTTTTCAGATGTCTGATTTTTAACAGTCCAAAACACACAAAGGCAAAGGCTTACGGGAATAAAAAAAAATTAAGGCAAGTTTTTAACGGCAAACTCTAGATGTGATGCAATTCTTTAGCAAGAAGCTGTCTCACCTCTTCGAAACACGACGTCAAATTCATTCCAAAGGCCACCCCTATCAGACCAAACAAGGAAAGGGAGAAGGAACCCATCGTCAGCTGCAGATTCAGGCGCATCATCACGTTACGATGGCTGGAAGAAAATAAAACCTTAAGAGACTTAAAATATATGTCTGTCATGGGTCAGCTTAAAGGACAGGTTCAGTTGTTCCAAGAAAAAAGTTAGGTGCTCATTTATACATTAAACATTTTGTTCACCTTAATCAGATTTAAATACACTTTTAAATCCAAATGAGGAACGTGTATATTGGCCCCCATCCCTGTCATTGAAAGTACATTAGGAAGCGATCGTTACTGTATATCCAGTATATGTGTGAGTTTGTGTGTACCTGTCCAGATTAATGAAAATGACACTTTCAGAGTCGTCTATCAGCCCTTTCAGCTCCCTGGTCTTGTTCCCCAGCTCCTCAGCCTGTATGGAGCAGTTCACAGTATGAACAGTCAACACAATCAACAGAACCACTCACTGTAAAAGGTACAGATAAGTGTAAATATTTACAAAAAGGTGTTTTCAGGTCTTGATATACAGACTAGTTTTTCTAATAATTAATAAGGAAAAGTGAAACATTTTTATATCTAACAGTTAGTCAACGGTTGGGGCTTTCCATACATAGCACTACCTGCATATAGTAATTTTCCAGTAACAGTTCCATCTCCTCAGCGTGGTCAATACCCAAACTGCTCTCCTCACTAGAAAGGCAGACAGACAGATATGAGAAAATTAAAAATACAAAAAATTGACCATTTTGTATTTTGGAACTACTCTAAAACTTTACCCCCTTCAAACATAAAAACAAAAAATACAACTGCATCTTTCTGCAGAACAAAAATGTTTTTATGCCATATACCATTTTAATACCTCAAATCACATGAACAAGTTTTAGTTGTCACACAGCAACAGTCCTCTTGAGCACCCAGACAATAAATATCAGTCCGAAAAAAATCCCCCAAATCATCAGACCTCATGCAAGAATATTTTCATATTGCCATCCTAAATCTCTCATGCTTTTTCCTCTAAAGTTTGCTTATGGGAGTATTTCAAACTGGGATTGACCACACACTTAAAAGCAGGAGCACTGGTCGTGAATTGCTCTTTGTAACCCGATACCACCTGCTGTTCTTGGGTCAGAGAGCAAAGGTGAGATTTGATCTATAGTGTCAGTTGAAATCAGAATGTGACCCAAGAGTGAAAAAAACAACAAAACACAACAAAAAAAGATGGGACACTCGTAAAAGCCTTGCTGAATCAGCTGATCGAAAACGTACAGAAAAAACTAAAACAACTGTATGCGACTATATATTACGGATCCCTTTTCCTTTTTATATATATAAAAAGGGCTTGACGTGAAGTTAGACGCCTAAAGACGTCTTGATATTCAAAGCGATACACAAATGCTTAGATGGGAGGCGTTAAAAGGCGATGTACAGTCACAAATATGGACGAGAGAATAATAATAGGTAATATCACACTCGGGTGTTACAACAGATGATGTTCACTCTGACAAAAGCTGCCATTTCAGGCCTTGATGCAGCTGAATGAGTTGACATGGTAAAAAGAAGTTGTCGGACCTTTCCGTAAAAGGCCGTGGCGGAGACGATGTTACGATGAACAGCGTATTCAAATAGTTTTATTATAACGTTAGTTATTTATTTGCATTTTAGTAAAGAAATTTAGATTTAGGCTAAACTATATTTGTACCTGCAAAGAAAGACTCGTGCAACTGGTCTGAACCGCTCGTAAATTATAAATACGAGGAAATGGCTGTTGTTAAATGACTCATGCGAGCCATTTCACAACAGACCTATTCACAAAATTAGTTCCGGGAAGAGGCCCATTGTGTGCGCATCCCATGCAACGCACGTGTACTTGTCTTACAAATATCTTATCTGACCGCGTGGCCTAATGGATAAGGCGTCTGACTTCGGATCAGAAGATTGAGGGTTCGAGTCCCTTCGTGGTCGTAAGTTTTTCACGTCTCCCTCATGTTCTATTTGGGGTGCTGCACACATTGCCTTGCTTTATCATCTCCACACTTAATGACTTTTCCTGATTCAATAGCTTATTGACATGATATTGAAATCATAAAATGTTTCATAAGTCTACAGAAAATTACATAAATGCTTGATATTTGTCACTTCTTAATCTGTAAAAGACTTTTCGGCAAACAAAAGGTTTAGTTTTTTAGAGGGAGAAAAATGGGAGGGTTGCATTCTTTGTTTTATAATTGGGTTTTAATGAGATCAGAAAAAATGGAAAGGAGTATTTAAATGGAAAAAATTCTGCTAACCAGTTACATCTGCGACGCCAAACCATAATCAGTTATTGAGGACAATGGGTACAAAAACACTATTTGTAGAGGGAAAAGATTTTGACACCTTGCGGGTCAGCAACATCTCAGACTTTCTTTTATTTTACTGCAGCCACTGACTGGGAGCTTTCACCTGCATTTAGCATTCATGTATGTGTATATGCGTGCACGTGAAACATACAAAACTCTTGGGTCCGTCCACTTCGTCAGACAGAGTTCTTCCATGAGCTCGTCCTCATCCAAAATTTTCAGCAAGGATTCCTTAAAAACCTTTATGTCCGTCTCCAACTCTGATAAGCTGTCAAGAGGAACAAGAGACAAGAAGGGAACTGAGAGAGATAGATGAAACTAAATATGTGAATATGATCGTTGAATGTTTAGGTCTAACACTGCCACAATGAGCCTTGAGGCATCCCACACGTGACTAATTAAGCTTTATAAAAGTAATCATCTAAACCAGTCCAGTCGCAGAGATGCTCACCCAGTTCCTCATATCCATAATTTAGAAAAGCATTGAAATCCTGATGCTATCTAACCTTATTTATAGTAGCATTTACAAATGATGTCAGTGTGGTTGTGTGCTTTACCTCTTGCTGTTCTGCAGCAGTACATGTAGTTTACTTCTATCAGCAGAAAGGATTTTAGGATCCACTAGGGATTCCAATGTGTCCAATATTACTGGCTCGACATCATTCAGCTGAGCTTGTAGAGTGTTTACCTGTTGACACAGACCCATTTATACAACACAAGCATGCTTCACCTCAACAGAGCCTCGTGGATGTCCTCAATTTACAGGCAGGTTTTTATCTTGGTGAGAACATGCTTAAATACACACAGTGTTTCTCTAATCTGTCTCACTTTGTGTTGCAGTATGGCCTCCAGTGCTCTGAACTCGAAGGGCAGGGTGTGCGTCTGTGATGCTAGCTGAGGGGCCAGGTCCAGTACCAACCAACGTTCCAATCCAAAGCCACGGAAATCCAACACCAACAGGGACTGAGGGGTCACGATGGCTTTCAAATACTGTGGAGAAACAGAGGGGTGTGGGTATATATATAAAAACAATGATGTAGATCATTAAAGTATAATTTATTTCTTTAATATTTTTTGGGGGACAGGTAAAAAGCCACAAAGTACAGATATTTTATTTTGCCAAATGTTTCCAACAAATTTCAATCTGTGATTTGTTGGATTTTTTTGGTCAATGTATTTTTGATATCCATGATTTTACAGAAGGTAACGGTGTGTTTCATTTGGTCGTCTGTCACTGGTGTCACATTCCCTTTGCATATGTATCAGCATTGTGGTTGTCTGCCAGAAGCTTTCATGAATTGATTCTTCCCTATCCAGTGTTAAGCTACAATTATACGATACATGTGTTTAGTCATGGGAAGTTATCAGAGACATAAGCTGAGAAAACATTAGCGCCAGCGTCCTATGTCCGCCGAAAATCATGGGAGAAACAGTGATTTTTAACATGAAACTGCTTTACTCAGTGTTTTAACCAGTTTTAATCACCGGGTCCATTTGTTTTGGAGAGGAGGAGACCTCTGCGGATAATTCAGGTCATGGTAAAAAACCTCCAGAACGAGGAACACTTAAGGAATCAACTTCCATGATCCCAAACTACTTCATATGACATACTATTTTTATGAAGAACTATGCCTAAAAGAAAAACTGTTCTTATTATCAATGGTTTCACTTTGACTTATGGTAACAAAACAATTCCTAATCAACAGCCAGATCAAAGGTGATATAGATTTGATTTAGAAGAGAAATGTGTCATTAATTACAAATTACTTAAAAGCAGTGTTGGGCAGTAACGCGTTACTGAATAATAATATTACAGTAACCCGTTACTTTTCCCAGTAACTAGTAGTAGTACTAGTAGTAACTAATTACTCTTCTAAAACAGTAATATTATTACTAGTTACTAACGCTGCGTTACTCGTTACTGAACGCACCATCCTTGATGTGAATCCACGACTGTGAGGCAGCTCAGCGGCACCAGACTTTGTTGTTCATGTCCACTGATAGCCAAAACTGAAGGAAGAAAGGAGAACGAGGGAGGAAAGGTGTTCTTTCCACAGCTGGAAGTAACTGCTGCCATTATTGTGTACAGTCTAAGATGGAAAGAACGTTGTCATCTATTGTAGATGAACAAAAAGCAAAAAGCTTTCAATAGTGAACATTTCTACATCTGATTTATTGACGCATCTGCTGAAGCAGCACAGCAACGTGAAACTTACAGCAAGAAACTCTGGCAGCTACTGTCACTGATGCTTGGACTCGTCGGGAGAGAGTGGTGTTGACATAAAAAAACGTTTTGTAACTACTCAATACTGCTCTTATAAACAGGCTACATGTGCAGTAAAACAGCTGTTTAAAAGTCGGGATTTACTTGCTTTATTTTTTTTATTTCAGCCGGTGGTGTTAAGAAACATTAGGCCTAGGCTATATGCTTTGTAACAACCACACTCCTTGCTGCTGTTATGAATATGATATTAGTTAATAAAGTAGGGGGAGAGAGGCTTTGTTTGGGGGTGAAGGGGGGTGGTAGTGAAAGCAGTGTTTCCCATAATTAGCCAATAATTAGGATAAATGTAAGTGCTGACCACCACATACTGATTTTAAAATTTTTTTACGAGCCGTATTTAAAATCATATTTGATTGAGGAGCATATATTCGTGTAGCACCTCCTTGCTCGCTCCCTCTCTCCTGAACACCGCTGCACAAACCTGTCCAAAGTTCGAATACACCCCCCACCCCACCCCCAAGGAAAGTAATATTGTAACATAACGAGTAACGTAACTAGTTGCTTTTATCACCCAGTAATAAGTAAAGTAATAATATCACTTTTTTAAGGAGTAATAAGTAACTAGTAATATATTACAATTTCTGAGTAACTTGCCCAACACTGCTTATAAGAGAGAAAGACAGCATTACCTCCATTCGTATGATAATGCAGTTATTTCTAGTAGTTAGGCTGGTACTGTGCTGAAAGCGAAGGTCTCTGGCCTGAAGACTTAACTCCTGGCAAAGCTCTGTTTTCTTCTTCTCTGTAAGAGAAAAATAAATGAGATGTAATAATATGGACATGACTGAATACTTAAACCAAAGGCAGAGGTGTAATACAAGATCTAGTGCTTTCAGCATCCGCCTCAGCATTGGTGGACGGTCACACCACAGGTCACAGCAATGGTGAGCAACACAGTGTTGATTACTGTACGTCCAAGTGTATATATTCAAAATAAGTAATCATTCATCTCAGTCACCACCTTAATTTTGCTCCTAAAATAAAAGACGGCAGGCAAGTTAATAAAAGATTAATAACACTTACCAAATGATGTCACATTCCCCTCTTGGTCAAACTTCATCTATGAAATAAATAAACACGAAACTGATTACTTACCTGTAGCAATCACAGTTATCAATGTATTTCAATAAATAACGTATGACAGTAGATTGGAGGTTGTTTGATAAGACATGTGGGAAAATCTGTATTAAATCCATCAGATAAAAGCTCTGAAATCAAACAGTCTGCATCTCCAAAAACATCTTGCCATTAGTTACATTTGACTTAGATCTGATAGTAGTAACTACTGCTCAGTAACCACAAAAAGGTTTCTGGCCGCCTGCCCTTGGTGGATCTCTTACCACCACAAAACTCGAAGGCACACTGGAAACAGGGGCGTCTGTCACTTTGTTGCGGATGAAGGACACTGTTCAAAGAAAACACTAAGTTAAACCACATGTAAAGGACATAATTCAAACATGAAGGCGGATAAAACTGAAACTACAGAATTTAAATATAGTCAGCTCTATAATTGTTGGGACCAGTGTTATTTCTATGGCTTGATACTCATCGTTGTAAAAGTTACATCGCTATGGTAATCAGCTACAATTTCAGAGGATTTTCAGGGATACTAGATTCAGTAGAAACCTACACATCCTGTGTACTTACTGCCCCATTTCAATGTGCCACAAGCATTTGGACAAATTAACATTTACAGAAGAGTAGCTTTTAAAAAAACGGCAAATTAACTGTATGATGAAAAAAACAATCCTGCAGTGGAACAACTTTTATTATCTTTATTATCTCTAGAAACACATATGCAGATGTCCTAATTACATATTTAACATGACTGATTCACTGATGAAGGTTAACATTTGATATGAGCTTCTGTTATTAACTGTTCTTCTAGGGTCTAATACTCTTCTCAGTTAGCTGAATGATTTTTGAGGCCGACAGAAATATCAATATTTTAGTGTTTAAAAAACTAATGAGACTTTGTTACTGATATTTTTTTTACATTAATATGACATAAAAACATGTTCGGTTATTTCAGAGTTGTGACCAAGTAAGGTATTACAGTTATATATTGTACACTAAAAGGAATAAATTTGTCAGTGCTCTCTGTTTTAGATAATCTCCAAATTATTGGCAAGTCTGTATAGAAAATTCCTGTTACTTATCCACCAACACTTACATCGATACCAATATATCTGTGATAAGCTAATAGCAGTCGATAAAATTGGCCTATAATAATGTAAACATGTATTTCAGAATCAGAAACACTTTTAATGGCCAGGTATGTGTACACATACGAGGAATTTGACTCCGGTGTTGTATTGTTCTCAATGTACATCCACAGAACAACAAGCTAGACACAAACCACAGTGTACAGTACACACACATACACACACACACAACCATAAAGAAAACAACATTTGTAGACGGCAAGATGTATGAAAAACATATCAAGAACTGCAATCAGGATAAATTGGTGTTTGGTTACGAAAAGACTGCCAAAAGTGAACAATGTAAAAGCGGCATATAACCCCAAAATATGAATTCAGCAGAGAAAGAAAGCATGTGTGCATACTGACAATCTTTCCTTCTTACCGGGCCATGTTGCACCTCCTTGCAGCAGGTTCTCCTTCCTCACCGCTGTAGCATGAGATGTTCTGGGTTGACATCTGGACACAGGCAGTGTTTGACTGCAGAGAGCATTTGAATCAGCATCACTGTGGCTCCTGCTGTACAATCCCACGTTTCTATTTCCAGGTGGAACAGTGTACTTCAGTGGGTAGCGCACTCTACGAGCACTACAGAGGAGGAGGGTTCGAGTCCCACCCATCGTGGAGACAAAGGGACTAAGACAACTGAAAAGGCGCTTTGGATAAACGTTCCCACCAAATGGCTGATACATCCCAGAGCAGTTCATACATCCAGCCAGCAGCAGCCTGTGTAGTGTCACCTCCACACCACCACAACACACAGCCCTCACACAGACTGCCATACTGGGTTTAGGTTTGGAGGGCGGATTTTTACCACTGCAGTAGCACGGAGATCATAACACATACAACAGCAGGTGGATAAAAGGAAGGCAAGACGTTGCCTCCATAAGAAATGACAGATGAAATTGTGTTTAATCCTTGGGTCATGTCATTGGTGGCCTCTCAGTGCCCTCGAGGTTACTGAGACAGTCCAGATCCGCAGGTACAACACGAATGAAAATATTATAACCACTTAACACTACACAAATACTGGTTAACGTAGCCTCAAATAACTTACAGCTCGGCTAATATTACTTACTAACTTTCTGTGCATGTTATGCTAGTTAACTTAGCATCGGGGGCAGCTTGAGCTCTCAGTAAATTTACGTTTAAAATTCGCAGTGACAGTAAACAAAGTCACAAGTAACACAAGTCAGTTACCTACCGCTAACTACAGACTTTTCCGAATCAACACATTATGCTCTGTTTAAGTCCGAAAACTACACAGGTGTCCGGGTTAGCATGAAGGAACTAGCAAACAGGAGGAGGACAGGGGCAAGAGCGCTGCGCCGGACCATGATGCACCGCGGCCACAAGGGCCAAAGATCGTCTCCAGGAAAGTAAATCACTCGGACCGCAAAATGAAAATTTGAGCTTAATTTAAGAAAGTCTCTAGCATTTTATTTAATGTATTCCTGTAGCGGTTCAATAACATTTTTCTCCCATGGAAAGTCCTTTAGAAATCAGCAAACAGATTACTATAAACTAAAGACAACAAATAAAATCCTGATTTAAAAAGCCTAATTGTGCCTCTAATAATAGGCCACAATTCACTGCAAGCAGCATTTCAATCTGACGTTGTTCTTCTTTATTTCCTTTTAGTTTATTTGAATTTGATGTTAACCGAGTAGGCTATAGGCTTAATTCCTTTTATTGATGTGTACTGGTGTAGCCTAGTATTGTGTAGGCTATTTGGATACACAATGGTATATATCCAAAGGGCTGTGTGTGTTGTGTTTTTGGAAAGCACTTTGGGTCAACTCTTGTTGTTTTTAAATGTTCCATACAGGCTAAATAAAGGGACTTGACTTGAGTCTGTGGATGTTATTAACAATAGGCTATTTCGGGCTTTTGTGGCACCCGGAACAAACCGTGATAGGATGCGTATTGATGTGGACTTGATGCTGTGGCTTGGCTAGGACACCGGGTTGGTGGAAACGGTGTAGGCGCAGCCGCGGAGGTGTTGTCAGCATCAGCATCTGTCCGCTGGATGCAGATAACCGGAAGGATGCTGATGCAGCGAGGAAGCGTGGGGATTTTATTGTGTTGACGCTGTCTCCGATTATAAACAGTTCCGTCGTCAAACCAGACCACGTCCATTTTTTATTTTATTCTTTCGCTGTTGTTTTTCTGTATCAGTAGCTGCCATGTTCCCATCGTGTTACACCAAACCCACGGACAGCGGCGGTAAAAGGAGCTCCATGGCTAAGTTGCTGCTCGGGGTTTTTGTGGTTTATTTGTTCCACACCGTCTGGCTGCTGTACGGCTTCCTCAACACTAAACCCTGTGATGGAGGCTCAGGGGAGCTCTGCATCACATCCTACCTGGCGGCGAGACCCAGACTACAGGTTAGCACAGGCCTTGTATCTTGATTCCTCACCCCTCATGGCAGATCAACAAATCTGGGACATCGAAACTCAGTTTCTGTGAGATCCAGCACAAGCCACCCCTTCATGGGCCTGATAATTTAGTTTGGGAGTAACTAAACCGAGTGCACCTTTTCATTTTAATGGAGATACTGCTCAGTATAATCCCCTGGCATGTGTTGTGTGCATGACAGTCAGTCAAGTAAAATAATGAGTTTTTTCAGATGAAAAGAGTTTAGAGCTCATTTATTTACATATAAAGAGATAGGTTAGTGTTTGTGTGCCTGAACAGTTAAATGTTCTGGTGATTTATTGGTCTGAACATGACCATGAATGAATGATGAATCATTTCTGAGATTTCATAATGTAGGTCTACTGTAGTCATGGTTTCCCTTTCATTTCTGCTGTTGCATTCAATTTGGAATTGGACTCAAAGCTTTTCTAAAAATGGAAAAGGCTGCATTGAATCTCTTCTTTTCTTCTTCTTTTTCCCCAGATGAGTGTCTTCACCTGCCTCCTGCCAGACAACAGCCAACTCAACCTTGCTGTAAAAATAGACCCGTTTGACCCACATTCTACATTTGAGAGGTGAGTTTTCACTTGTTGATACAGCTGGTAATCATGCACATTTTAATTAAGACTTCTTCCTCATTGCCAAGAGAAATCTTCATGGCATGAAATGTTGTTTTACATACCGGTAGCAGGTTGTTATATGGAAAATAAGTCATACATGTTTGTTAAATGTTTATTGAAAAGGAATTGTACATTACCAGACAACTGGTTGTTTTAACTTACTGTCTCTCTGTCTTTTGTCATTTATACATTACTGTCTCTCTCCTATATATAGAAAGGTGAATGTTTCTCTGCCACAGGAGACTCGAGCTAATGGCACTCTGTATGCAATCGTGTATGTTCACAAAGCCGGTGTTTCACCTCTGGAGGACCGCAGAGAAGTCCACCACGCAGCTCAGCTCACTACCTACATCCCTCCCACTCACACCGAGGGGCAGAGAGACACGCAGAAGGTGAAATGTAATTCAGTATCTGTCAGGGCCCACCGATCATATTTCAGCCACTGTTGCAGCAGATTTAGACATGTGGCCTTTGCTGCAAATGAGTTATTTTTGTGGCTCCATCAGAGGCTGAGTCCCAGATCAGAGAATCCTGTATCCCACTGGAGACCTCACCTGTCAATCACTATGATGTCAGAGGACTTCACCTTCAACAAGGCGGGGCTTCCTAGTGATGTGCGGCGCTACATGAGAGTGTAAGTTAGTCACATGAAGCTTTGGAGGTCACACAGCCCGGTGATCTATCAGAGTGCTGCTGACTCCTGCTTTATTGCTGCTTTTCTCTGCAGTACACTCAAGTTCTGGAGTGGGTGGACAGCGAACATACACAGACATTTTTTTCTGCTCTTTTTGAATACAGTTTACTAAAAATAGGAAATGTGTAAGTGGTTTTCTTAAGTAATATGAAAATATATAAAATGATGATACATGATATATGATATATAACATCAGCAAAAACATCTACAGTCACCAATCTGTGCAATATTAATTTCTCAAGGAAAGTTTTCAGCCAGAGATCTTCTTAAGGCATCTATACTATTTGTATACCCTTATCAGTGTTTAGGCAAATCTAGATCTTAAAGTAATATTTGTTTAGCTCCCTGCAGCTCCACAAGGTGTAAATAATGAATCTGCCCTGAGCCATTGTGTGTGTTAAAATGAAACTGTCGTCCTGTCTCTCCTTGTAGCTCTCAGGATGGCCGACAGATGGTCTACCTCCCTCTGCTGCTGGTTAATGAGCTCAGCTTCAGAGTCAGAGACCTCATGGTAGGACAATTTTACTCACTTTGTAAAAGCTAAGTCTAATAAATTCTGGGCTTTGAGTGAAATGACCAGCATGGCTGTACATGTGTCTGTCCACATATTCACAGGAGATCAGCAGCAGCACCGTTCAGCTCCCTCTGACTGTATCCTATGAGGGGATCTCTTTAAGGGGATTTCGGTTCTGGGTGCATCTGCAGGACGTGGTTTACTCCCTGCGACAGTTTGGTGAGCTAATGAGATGAGAACAGATATGTAATGATTTAAAGAGTTATGCTTTTTTAAAGGTATTAAATGGGTTCTCCTGCAGGATGTGGTGTCTACTCTGCAATATTATGGTGTATTAAGAAGTCTTTTGTAATAGTTCTGAGGTCAAATGAAAACTTTGTTTTTATTGTTGTAGAACCTCAATATGTTAGACCTAAATAACTAGCATGCAAATCAGCCTTTTACTTTTTATATCACATAGTCAAGAGATCAAACTAAACTAAGTCCTTTGATTGCATCTTTTGTCATAATGCAAGAACTTAAGGACTCAAAGCAGACTCGGAACAGTTTGAAGGGGTAACAAAGGGTTTTATTGAAAAGTGCAACGGAAGACTGGGTGGTAGGTTCCAACAGGGCAGAATGGAGAACACGGAGGAGGGGAGTTTGTCCAGGCAAGATGTGAGCAGAGTTCCCGGAGGTAGTGTGATCCACATGTGGTTAACTGATAATCTGGCAAAGAATGTGAGGAGGACTGGGGTTGAAATACTGCAGGAGCTTGATTAGTGGAATGAGGACCAGGTGCGCCGCTGGAGCCAGAGAGTGTAGCCACGCCCAGACAAACACAGACAGGGAGGACAGACAGAAAACACAGGGAAGGGGGGGAACGAAAGAACACAAGGTAGTGGGGAGATTCTGCAGTACCACAACATCTTTGTGTTTATCCAGGTTTCACAGAAGAGAACGTAGATGAGATTAAAGAAATTTTGGTGGGCTCCAACCTCTACCTGCTAGTGTTGACTGCTCTCATCACAGCTCTGCAAGTAAGATTATACACACCACAGAAAATACCGTACATATTAGAATCCACCAGATTCATAGTCTTATGAATTGTGAAATATTTTAACAATCCCATTCTCTGTATGTAGCACAGTGTGTCAGGCATAATGCAAGCATTGTAAAATTGAAAGTATGTTTTTTTCTCTCTCTCCACGTCTATCGTTTTCTACAGCTCATCTGTGAATTCTTGGCTCTTAAAAATGACATCAGCTCATGGAGAAAAAAGAAGACCATGGTGGGAATGTCCAGAAAGTCGGGTAAGAAAATCATCACATTATACAAGCGTGGCGTTTTAAACTAGTTTGCAGTACTAAAGGTTTTTTTGCACAGGGCTTACCAGCAATCATGAACAACATTTAATTATAGTTTTTCTGTAAATAATAAGACAGTACGGCCGTGCCTTGAAAACAGTTAGGGCCCAACTGTTCCTTCTGTCTCTCCCCTCTCTCTTTGTAGTACTGTGGCGTAGTCTGAGTACTTTGCTGATTTTCCTCCATCTGCTAGAGGAGACCAGTCTACTGGTGCTGCTTCCTGTTGGACTGGGAGCATGTGTAGAGGTATTTAGTATAATTACTCTCCTCTGACAGAAAGTCTCAAATATCAAAACTAAAAACACAAAACCATATCTGTCATCCCGTCAGGTATGGAAGGTGTTTAAAGTGTTTAACATCCAGTGGCAGTGGAAGAGCTCTAAGCTCCATGTAAGTACAGCGCCATTAAGCCACAGCAGTTTTAACATGTGATATAATTTGATTCTATAATATGTTTTTCTAACTTATGACAGCCTCCCCTCTTGCTGTGTAGGTAAATAAGCTGGATGAAGAAGAAAGGAAGACCGTGGAGTTTGATACACAGGTATCAGGAAAGTTCTATCTTGTTTGAATTTATATTCTGCCACTGGCTTGCCTTCATTTTAATATTTTGTCTGTGGGTCTGTGTGTCAGGCGTCCAGATACTTGTCCTACTTGGTCTATCCGCTGTGTATCAGTGGAACTATTTTCTCACTGGCCTACTTTCGCCAAAAGAGGTGAGCTCACCACTGCTTTCAAT